CTCTCTGCTGAACGCCAGGAGTGGCGCCATGCCCTCTGCTGCTGCTCTCTCTGCTTCTTTTGGCGGGCTGGCTGCCTTTCACTGCTGCATCGGCACATAGTACGCTGGGATGGGGGGCAGGGATCCCTACTGGTGCTCTCCTCTACACTTACCTCCACAGCAGCAGGCTCGTCCCCATACTCGGCGCGCATCTCTCTGCTGAACGCCAGGAGTGGCGCCATGCCCTCTGCTGCTGCTCTCTCTGCTTCTTTTGGCGGGCTGGCTGCCTTTCACTGCTGCATCGGCACATAGTACGCTGGGATGGGGGGCAGGGATCCCTACTGGTGCTCTCCTCTACACTTACCTCCACAGCAGCAGGCTCGTCCCCATACTCGGCGCGCATCTCTCTGCTGAACGCCAGGAGTGGCGCCATGCCCTCTGCTGCTGCTCTCTCTGCTTCTTTTGGCGGGCTGGCTGCCTTTCACTGCTGCATCGGCACATAGTACGCTGGGATGGGGGGCAGGGATCCCTACTGGTGCTCTCCTCTACACTTACCTCCACAGCAGCATCCTCGTCCCCATACTCGGCGCGCATCTCTCTGCTGAACGCCAGGAGTGGCGCCATGCCCTCTGCTGCTGCTCTCTCTGCTTCTTTTGGCGGGCTGGCTGCCTTTCACTGCTGCATCGGCACATAGTACGCTGGGATGGGGGGCAGGGATCCCTACTGGTGCTCTCCTCTACACTTACCTCCACAGCAGCAGGCTCGTCCCCATACTCGGCGCGCATCTCTCTGCTGAACGCCAGGAGTGGCGCCATGCCCTCTGCTGGCTGCTTCTCTCCACAATTGCTCCCCCCCCACACCCCTCCACAATTGCTCCCTCCCCACACCCCTCCACAATTGCTCCCCCCCCACACCCCTCCACAATTGCTCCCCCCCCACACCCCTCCACAATTGCTCCCTCCCCACACCCCTCCACAATTGCTCCCCCCCCACACCCCTCCACAATTGCTCCCTCCCCACACCCCTCCACAATTGCTCCCCCCCCACACCCCTCCACAATTGCTCCCCCCCCACACCCCTCCACAATTGCTCCCTCCCCACACCCCTCCACAATTGCTCCCCCCCCACACCCCTCCACAATTGCTCCCTCCCCACACCCCTCCACAATTGCTCCCTCCCCACACCCCTCCACAATTGCTCCCCCCCCACACCCCTCCACAATTGCTCCCCCCCCACACCCCTCCACAATTGCTCCCTCCCCACACCCCTCCACAATTGCTCCCCCCCCACACCCCTCCACAATTGCTCCCTCCCCACACCCCTCCACAATTGCTCCCCCCCCACACCCCTCCACAATTGCTCCCCCCCCACACCCCTCCACAATTGCTCCCTCCCCACACCCCTCCACAATTGCTCCCCCCCCACACCCCTCCACAATTGCTCCCTCCCCACACCCCTCCACAATTGCTCCCCCCCCACACCCCTCCACAATTGCTCCCTCCCCACACCCCTCCACAATTGCTCCCCCCCCACACCCCTCCACAATTGCTCCCCCCCCACACCCCTCCACAATTGCTCCCTCCCCACACCCCTCCACAATTGCTCCCCCCCCACACCCCTCCACAATTGCTCCCTCCCCACACCCCTCCACAATTGCTCCCCCCCCCACACCCCTCCACAATTGCTCCCTCCCCACACCCCTCCACAATTACTCTTCAAGCATCTGTTTGTGCGGCGCATGGCAGCAGATCTGGGCATCTACCGCATCATAACTCCCACTCCCTGCCTCCTTTCCACTCCCTGCTCTGCCTTCTCTTCCCCCCGACCCCCCTCCCTCCCACAGTTGCTCTTCAAGCATCTGTTTGTGCTGCGCATGGCAGCAGATCTGGGCATTTACCGCATCATAATTCCCACTCCCTGCCTCCTTTCCACTCTCTGCTCTGCCTTCTCTTCCCCCCGACCCCCCTCCCTCCCACAGTTGCTCTTCAAGCATCTGTTTGTGCGGCGCATGGCAGCAGATCTGGGCATCTACCGTTGCAGTCCAACCGACGAGCCAGTTACAGCCAGAGGTAGACTCGGGCAGGGCTTACGTGCGTGCATCTTATTCAGATGTCCCCATAAAGTCCTCTTGCTGCAAAATCCGTCTCCGTTCGTTTAAGGCGGTGGTATTTAACGGGTATTTTTCTCAGTATCATCGTACACGCGCCTCCATATTTTAGTACCTGAGCCTTCCTCTCCTCGCAGCTCCATCTTTCACCTGACTGACAGACATCCTCACTTCAGGTCATTCTATATTCCAAATATTTCACGGCCTCTGCTTCCATCTCTACCGCGTCGAAATTCTCAAATCTCCTGCATAGAAATTCGTCGCCATGGCCGTCGCGTCGTCGAAATCGTCGCCGTCGCAAGAGTCTTCGCCGGCGTGGAAGAAGACCAAGGAGATGCTCGGAACCTTCGCCACCAGCGGCACAGCCGTCGCGATTTCCACAGCCACCACACATCCCGTCGGTACGTGCTGCTTGCATGCTGCTTGCGTAGACTTATCAACTTGTCGCCACGCGAGTTCCACAAGAATGCGCAAAAACAATCAATAAAACAAACAAACAAACACGATAGGCTATTTTTTTACATAGTTCATCTTTTACCGTTACCCACAATTTCGCTCACTTTTCATCCCCATTACCATCCACTCCCCCCCCTCCCCTCTCCCTCATCAGACGTCGTTAAGGTGCAGCAGCAGATGCAAGCAGTGGGCCAACGAGGCCCCTCCTCCACAATGGTCGCCACCACGCGCAAGCTCCTTCAAGAAGGCGGCGTGCGCGCGTTATACCGCGGCGTCGAGCCCGCCGTCGTCCGCGCCTTATCCTACGGCTGCCTGCGCCTCGGCCTGTACGAGCCGTGTCGCAACATGATTGCACCTAAAGACAAGTCGCAGGTGCATATGGGACATAAAGCCCTCGCGGGGATTATGTCTGGATCGTTCGCTACAGCCGTGTCGAATCCTCTGGATGTCGCGAAAGTCCGGCTACAGATGATATCCGAGACGGCCGCCGGGAGCAGCGCCGCGAGTGCCGCCGTGAAAAGCGCGGGTGCGCGGAGCAGCCGGTCGACGTCGGGGCAGATTCTGGAGATTGCGCGGACGGAGGGAGTCGGCGCGCTGTGGAAGGGCGTAGGGCCGTCCATGGGCCGCGCGGCGGCGCTCACGGCGGCGCAATGCGCGGTGTACGACGAATGCAAACAAATGCTGAAAGCGCGCGCTGGCGTCTCGGACGGTCTGCCTCTTCACCTCAGCGCGTCCATGCTCGCGGGTGCCGTGTCGACGCTCGCGTCGTCACCCTTTGACACAGTCAAGACGCGCATGATGGCAGTTAAGAAAACCTCCGCCGCCGCTTCCGCCTCTTCCGCCTCTTCCGCCGCCTCTGCAGCCCCCAGAGCCCCGCTCCCCCCGCCATCCGCTTCCCCGTCGATTCCCCCGCAGTCAAATGCCACAATAAGCGGAGCCTCGTCCGCGTTTTCCCCCGTAAACCTCCAAAACCCCGCTCCGCACAATTCTTCCGCCCAACTCCAACCCGCGCTCGCGTACTCCACTTCTTCCGCCTCCCCCGCACCTTCCGCGCGCCCGCCGCCGCTACCTGCTGCGCGTGGACTGCCCCCGTTGGGTCCTGCGCCCGCTGCTGCGCCCGTGGCCGGCGCAGCTCCGCCAGAAGGCGGTGGAGCTATCGTTTATCGCGGATCCATGCACTGCGCTTACTCGGTGAGTGATTACACACAACCCCTTACCCAGTGGGTGAATGAGTCGTTAGTCAGGTGTTTGTGCAATACCCCTATAATCCATTTATCGGAAAGGGTACTAACTTCATTGCTCATCCTACACTCACTCACCCCAGTCCTTCCATGCCTTACCCTCTTTCTTCCTGTTTCCCGTCATTCCCGCTGTCCTCAGATTCTCCGCACGGAGGGTATCCGCGGGCTTTACAAAGGTTGCGCCGCGAATTACGCGCGCCTGGGTCCCATGACCGCCATCACCTTCATCGTCTACGAACAACTGCGATCCCTCGCCGGGCTGTCCAGCTTGTAACCCTAATCGTGCACTGCGCGAATGTTCGTCGTCTGCGAGCAGCATCGCCCCTTGCTAGTCCCGCAAATGCAAGCTTGTAGCGCGGAAATGTGTGTGTACACGCGTGCATTCGATATGATTCCTGCAAGGCCACTAGAAGGGCCTTAGGCGAAATTAGATCCACCAAATAAGGTCCCTCTTTCCTCCGGGGATCTCCTTAAAGCCCAAAAAAAAAAAAAAAAAAAAAAAAAAAAAAAAAAAAAAAAAAAAAAAAGGTCCCTCAGTGTTCGTTGTACTGTGCATGCTAAATGGTATGCACATAATTTTTTATTTCACTATTTGACCTGTGTCTACTTTGCCTGGCAAAGAGTGTTGACAAATTGGCAGAAAGGCAGAAAGAATCTAGAAAGAGCAGTAGGTAGGTGGCTAATGCTGCCACAGCTGGGAAAGAAGAACCTTTCATGGAATTGTTGAACAGCTTTATCAATCACACTCTTCAAATCGCATATCATATCAGCTTTTGATATGTAACAAAACAATTTATCTGGAAATTTTTATACCGTATATCCATTTTACGCTGTACTAATCCAGCGTATATCAAAAGCCTAGGTACTGTACGTACGGTAGCCATCACCGTAAATGAAACTCCAGACAAGGATACACCAGATTAGGCTAGGGAAGTGTTTGTTCAGAGAAAAGCAAATGACTGGAGAGCTGCTAGCAGCTGTGAGTTCATTATCGGCCATCGAGCCTTGGTGCACGACGCTGTGATGACATAGAGGTAGCCTGGAGGGGAGGAGAGGGGAAAATGTGCAGGAGGGGGTGGTGGGGTGACGGAGGAAGAGCTGAATGTATTGCAGCTGTGAGTTCATTCTAGTCCGCCGTGCCTCTGTGCACGATGCTGTGATGATGACATATAGGTAGCCTGGAAAGAGAGGAGTAAGGGAGGAAAGAAGAGTTGAATTCATAGCAGCTGTGCCTTCATTCTTGTCCACCGTGCCTCGGTGCACGATTCAGTGATGACATAGAGGTAGCCTGGAGTGGGGGAGGAGGGGGAGAAGTAGTAGGGGGCGGAGTGGAGGGTGAGGAGCTGAATGCATTACAGATGTGTGCCCTTCATTGATCATCAAGCCTCGGTGCACGATGCAGTGATGACGTAGAGAGGTGGCCTGGAGGGGAGATGTGGGGAAGACGTGGGGTGAAGAAGGGTGCGTAGGGGTGAAAGAAGGTGGAGGAAAGCGAAAACTTACCCGGACCTGTGCTGACTCACCATGCTACCATCATGCGCTCAATCTCATAATGATGGGTTTTGGTACGTCCAGGTAAAAGAACAATCCAAGCATTTGAGACCTAACGTTGACATTGGCACAATTGGGAAAGTGGTCTAGTTGCACAGGTGTGAGACAGGAGGAGACAGCAAGTGGACTTACGAGGGAAATGATTGATCAGCATACCTTCTGACAGGAGTATCCGGCCTATGTGGCGGCGCACGATTGGCTGAACGAGGTCTGCCCCTCGCACTGACACACACTCACCCACGCCCCCCTTCCCCTCCTCTATCCGCCCTCTGCACGTCTCTGTTACCACACTACACAGAGGGGTGGAAGGGAGAAGGAGGAAGGTGGCAAGTGACTGTCCCTGACTGCATTTTGAAGGTTGAATGAGGTGGGCCCTCGCACCGACACACACTCACCCACGCCTCCATTCCCTTGCTCTGTCCTCCCTCTGCACGTCTCCGTTATTAACTTCAGTGAGGGGTGAAAAAGAGAGGACAAATGTATATCAAAAGCAGCAAGTTCATTTCCTTACAACAAATATGCATTCCCCTCTTTTCCTCCTCTATCCTGCCTCGGCACGTCTCCGTTGTCACAATGCAGAGGGGCGGAAGGGAGCAGACAGAAGCACATTAGAGGTTGAACGAGGTCTGTCCCTTGCCCTGACACACACCTCACCCACGCCCCCCTTCCCCTCCTCTATCCTCCCTCTGCATGTCTCCAGAGGGGTGGAAGGGAGCGGACAAAGGTAAATTCAAGGTTGAATGAGGCAGACGTGGAGCTGCGGAAGAAAATCGGCTGACAAGGAGGAGGAGAGTTTACTGACAAGGGGAGAACGAAAAGCTACTTAGCCAAATAACGATACAACTTAGCTATTCAGCTCTCTATTCTTAAATTTCCGGACCCGGGATCCGTACTCACTCGAAACTGAGTCCAGCAGGTGATGCCAGCGCGGAGAGGATCTTTTGCAGATCCAGTGGAAGCTCTATGATTGGCTGGTTGGGGAACACCGTGTCCTCCACCAATGAGGTTCTCAGATTCTGGATGGTGGTGGGAGGGAGAGAGAGAGAAAGCGGAGAAAGACAGAAATAAAGGAAGAAAAGAAAGAACGAATGGGAGCGAGGAGTGGGGGTTTAAGTAAGCGCACAAATGGGATTGTGATGCTGGAAAAAGGGTATTTTCAGTGCACCAGAGAAGAAGAAAAAGGGAGGAGAGGAGAGGCATCTAGGAAGTACCAAGGCTCACCCTGTTGGACAGGATACGTTGGACTAGGGGAATGATATCGTAGAGAAGTGAGAATCTGTAGAGGAAGTCATGTAAAAAAAACCTCACATCAAGTATCAAGGCTAACCCCGTTGAGCAGGATACGTTGGATTAGCGGAGCCAGCTTAATGAGGGGCTCTTGAGTGAATCATATAAAAAAACAGTTCATTGAGTATCAAGGCTCACCCAGGAGCGAGTATCAAGACTCACCCCATTGGGCAGGATGCGTTGGGTGAGAGGAGCAAGCTTGTCGGGGTTTAGAGAGGCGAGATGAGACGAGGAGTGAGCGGGAGAATGCGGGCCTTAGAGGAGCAAGTATCAAGACTCACCCCGTTGGGCAGGATGCGTTGGATGAGAGGAGCGAGCTTGTTGGGGTTTGAAAAGGTGAGGAGACGAAGCGTGAGTGAGGAGGATGGGCGGCGATTAGTGAGACTCACCCCATTGGGCAGGATCCGTTGGATGAGAGGAGCAAGCTTGTCGGGGTTTGGAGTGAAGGCATAGCGAATGACACTCATCTGATGCAGCGGGGGGGGGAGGGAAGAACGGAGAGAGGTACAGAGGTACAGAGGAGGGAGGCAGGCGATGAGAGAGGAACAGACGTTGAGTCAAAGTATCGACATGGGTGAAGGCATAGCGATTGACGCTCATCTGATGCAGCGGGGGGGGGGGGAGGGAAAGATGAACAGAAAGGAATAGAGGACCTGAAATGGAGTCGACCATGACTGCTATTCTGAGAGAATGTATTCTTGCATCACTCATCTGATTTGGAGTAGAAGGGGAAGATTAACAGAAAGGGACAGAGAGGGAAGAAGAAGAGAGAGGAGAGAGGGTGACGCTTTATGAGAGAATGGAGACCGAGAGGGAGGGACTGAGTGAGGAGTGAGTGAGTGCGCGAAGGAGCGAGCGAGGAAGTGATCGAGGGAGCGAGATAGGGAGCGAGTGAGGGAGCGAGAAAGGGAGCAAGACAGGGAATGAGTGAGGAGCGAGCGGTCACATACTTGTGATTCACACGCACACACACACACGCACACACACACACGCACGCACACACACACACACACACACACACACACACACACAAGCAACGGAGGAACCAAGTATTGCTCCGCACGGTGTCCAAGGTGACCAAGCTGCCGACAACAGCAAGGGCCAGTTCACTTTTGAGCCGACTCAAAAGGCCTGAGGGCCGTGTGCTGATATGCACGACACTGATATCGAAGGAGCAATAACGTGTACGTAGATAGACACATACCGTGTCGAAGGTGACGAAATTCCCCACAACAGCAAGAGCCTGAGCGCCGTCTGCTGTGAGTGGGGCATCTGCCGGGTCGTTCTTGCGGTTCTGGTTGGGTGAGAGCAGCGCATGAGGGGTGCATGAGGGGCGCATGAGGGGCGCATGAGGGGCGCATGAGGGGCGCATGAGGGGCGCATGAGGGGCGCATGAGGGGCGCATGAGAGGGACAAACAAGAGGGAGAGGGCCTGCGCGCCGTCTGCTGTAAGCGGGGCGTCTGCCGGGTAGTTCTTGCGGTTCTGGTTGAGGTGGCAGCAGGGGGGATACACGGGTGGGAGGAGGGAGAGGGAGGGGATGAGGGGGAAGTGCATCAAGGGGACAACCAAGGGCTTAAGCACCGTCTGCTGTGAGTGGGGCATCTGCCGGGTCGTTCTTGCGGTTCTGGTGGGTGAGTAGAGCGCATGAGGGGACAAACAAGACGGGGTGGGGAGGGAGGGCGGGGTGGGGAGGAAGGGCCTGAGCGCCGTCTGCTGTGAGCGGGGCGTCTGCCGGGTCGTTCTTGCGGTTCTGAGAAAGACCCGGCAGAAAAACGCAAACCAGGGAGGGGAGGGGGTGGAGGTGGAGAAGGGGAGCGGGAAAGCGTTGTTGTAGAAAGGAAGCGCTGATGTCGCAGTAGTGAAGTCAAGTAAGTACTTGGTAAGGTTTAGCACTCAGGTGGCACTTACGATTGTGACTATATAGGAGGACGGGTAGAGGAAGGAAAACCCAAAGGCGCTCTCAAGAAGCTTCCAGGAAGCAGTGTCGAGTGCAGCACCGGCAGCTGTTGGTGCAGGCGCAGCTGCTGTGGCTGGGAGGGACAATGGGGTACGACGAAGAGAGGGAGGGAGAAAAACGAAAACAAGAGCCTAACGAACGGGATAATGTATCCTTCTTTCCCCACCCCCGTTTTCCCTCTCCCCCCATTCGCCAAATCCCCACACCGTTGTGACTAGTACCAAAAACGCTCTTGTGTGTGAGTGTGTGAGAATACCGAGGGCTGCAGCCGCTATTGTGCTGTGCTGGTTCCTATCTGTGATCCTGGTAACTACCACTACCAGCGTCAATGTGACAATACCTGCGTTGGCGATTGGAACAGTAAAAGCGCCTGTTGTGACAATAGCGAGGGCTACGGCCGCTAGGCCGCTGCCTGTACCAGCTATCACCCCCCGCCGCGTCCAATAGTTTCCTGCCACCTGGCAATCATTTGCATCCTGGCCATCCTCATTGTAACGATCCTCGATACAAGCCTCCTCGTTGGAACATTCCTCGCGACCGGCCTTTGCCGAAATTACCAAACGCGATGTTCGGAACTGCCGTGTTGGCGACCGAGAAACGTGGCACGAGGGGATTGGTGAGGAGGAGAGGTGGAAATGGCCACGACTCCTGGTAACGCGCAAGGAGATGGTGGGTCCTGATAAGGAGACTGAACCATTGGTAAGAGCCGTCATTGATAGCCGAGCCGCCATAGATGCTAGCTTCCTGACGCGGAAGCTGACACGGTTCAGTCGGGGGACTCGGAGACCAGGAGTGTGGTGTCAGACCCTACGGCCAATATTTTTTTGGCGATTTTTTTTGGCGCGAAAGAGGTGGACCCGAGGGAACGAGATGATCCCAAGGGTCGCGGGGACGGTTTGGATCAAAAGGCAAGATCGGGAGGATTTGAGACGGATTTGGATTGCTTTGTGATCAATGAGCCGATATTGGCTGGTGCGTTAGAAAAAACAAATACTACATCGACACTGGAAATACACTTACGGATAATGGCTAAATAATGGGCTACCTAACCTATCCAGCAACCTACATGTCTCTCCTTCAGAAATCTATTCATGAAGTCAATGTGAATGCCCACCAAAGCCCGAGCCCAACAGCCACCTCTAACCCCACCCTTTTAGCCACACGCACAACCATTCCGCCTTTTCCCGAATCCTTTTCATCCGATGCACTGGCTCCGACCAACTGCTTGAATCGCAGTGTTCTTTGCTCATTATCTTACAACAAATAGTGCACCACGCCGGGCAAGTGACCTCGCCCCACCACGCCAACCACTCTGTCACAGCCTCTCACAGCCTTGCTCCGTTTTAAGGCCCATGCTAGATACTGAAGAGGGGACAAGTAAATGAGGGGAGGATGAGGGTTGGGAGAAAGAGGGGGAGGATGATGGCAAGTTCCAAAACTGAAACGTGCAAGCGCAGGAATGGTTGGCAGCCAGTGCCCTAGATATCAGACTTTAAAGTCTGATTCAGAGTCTGTTCAGACTTCTTTTTTGTACCTAGTCTGAAGTCCAAGAAATTTTTTATGTACCTTGTCTGATTTTTCAGAGGTTTTTTTATGAGTTGTCTGAAATTTCAGCCTATTTTTTTAAGTGTAGGCTAAGCCTCAGACTTGTATCGGGGGTACACTCTGCGCGCTTATCGAAGCGAAGTTTCCTGGAGGTTTCCTTTCAATATGCCCACTTCCGAGATGGCAGTGGAGTGCCAGGACGTGAGCACCGCACACTTCAACAGCTGGGACATCCGAATACACTCGTTCGTCGAGAATATCTTCCAGTTGCTGAGGAAATGTTTGCGTAATTATGGGATTTTTAAGACAAAATCTCGTCACATGTAAGTTATCGCTAATGTATTGTAAAGAATAGGAGACTTTGATGGTGATTTGCTGTAAAAACATCTGCAGCACGCCTGTGAAATTGCGAAGGTCCTGATTCGTAGTGAAAGTTTCGTGTGGCACTACCTGATGCTCACATCACACGCCACGCCAAGCAACAGTTCCTGCCTGCTGACAGCTCAGCTGCGTGGCACTTGGCCCACCTGATACAGATCGGGTGAACGATCGCATCGCTAGAAACGCAAATCCAAAAGTGACAAAATTGGCACACAGGCGAGAAAATGGGTGCAGAACGGTAATCACACACACGGCAAAACGAAATGAGATCAGCAGAAACAACCATGCGCTGCACGTGACAAAAACACCAGAACGCCGCCGACATGAGCAGTGGCGATGCACGAGCACGTTGCCTGATGCGTTGGTAGGCTGTAATCAGCTTCAATGCTGTTATAACTATGCTGTTATGAAACTGCATGAACATCTTAAAATTTGAAGTAACTCTAACAGTTCAGACAAAAAAAGTTGTGCTTGTCTGAATTTTCAGACTAAAAAAATTAGGTAACTCTGACAGCCAGACTAGGAAGAGGGGTGTACTCTGAGGCGTCAGACTACCTCAAAACGAATCTAGGGGCCTGGTGGCAGCAAGGCCGCGAAAAAACTTGAGTTTTGTGAGACAGGCAGTAATGTGAGGCAAGTTTGGAATGCCAACTCACCGCATCCCTCTCATGCACAAGTGGCCCGAGGAGCGTAGGAAACTGCCGCGCAACTTCCTGAAAAACAGCCGACAAAAACTCGACCTCTTCCTCTCCCTCCGCGTCGTCTTTCTCGACCACTCCCCCACTCCCCACAACATCTCTATCCATATTCAAACTCTCCATCCCTTGACCATTGGAAGAGTCACGCTGTCTTGAGAACGCTCCTTTCAACTCGCTCTGCTCCAGGGAGCCCCCCTTCAGCCCGCCTTGCAGGAGAGCAGAGGCGAGGCGAGCGCGGTCGAGAAGAGAAAGTGCCTTCCATGCACGGCGCAGCTGGGGGGAGGGGAGGGGAGGGGAGTATAGGGGTGAGGAGAGGGGAGGGGGGAAGGGGAAGAGGGCATATTGATTTGCCAAGCCAAACCACATGCAGGCGAAACGAGGCAAGCGTGGTCGCGCAGAGAGAGGGCATTCCATGCACGGCGGAGCTGGTGAGAGGGGATTTTGGGGAGACGAGGGGAGAAGAGTATGGAAAGAGGAGGGGAAGAAGAGAGGGAGAAGGGCAAGAGAGAGGGCCTTCCATGCACGGCGGAGCTGGTGAGAGGGGAGTTTGGGGAGACGAGGGGAGAAGAGTATGGAAAGAGGAGGGGAAGAAGAGAGGGAGAAAAGAAGGGCAAGAGAGAGGGCCTTCCATGCACGGCGGAGCTGGTGAGAGGGGAGTTTGGGGAGACGAGGGGAGAAGAGTATGGAAAGAGGAGGGGAAGAAGAGAGGGAGAAGGGCAAGAGAGAGGGCCTTCCATGCACGGCGGAGCTGGAGAGAGGGGAGTTTGGGGAGACGAGGGGAGAAGAGTATGGAAAGAGGAGGGGAAGAAGAGAGGGAGAAGGGCAAGAGAGAGGGCCTTCCATGCACGGCGGAGCTGGTGAGAGGGGAGTTTGGGGAGACGAGGGGAGAAGAGTATGGAAAGAGGAGGGGAAGAAGAGAGGGAGAAGGGCAAGAGAGAGGGCATTCCATGCACGGCGGAGCTGGTGAGAGGGGCAGAGGGGAGACGAGAGGCGAGCATGTGGAGGAACCCAAGGTCATGCCACTCACGCCATTCTCAAACAACTTTAAGAGAGAAAGACTTTCTTCCCTTTTTTTGACAGTGCCATAGAACCTTACCCCGTCGTACAACGTAACCGTTACGAGCAAGTCGTGGTGTACAAATCGTAGTGATCGAGTTTTGAGGCGCCTGAGCGCCTCAAAACCAGTGCCATAGAACCTCACCCCGTCCTACAACGTAACCGTTACAACTTACGCGCAAGTCGTGGTGTACAAATCGTAGTGATGGAACTATTGTGATGACCAGAACGAATGGAAAGACCACTCACAGTGATTTCAATGGGTCGATCTCCCAGCACCAGCTGTGCTCCAATCGCATCTGCAGCCTCCCTTGCTGCACGGAACTAGACGGGAGCGGGTCAATGGAAGCGGAGAGCAGAACGGGAGGGCTGATGGTTTGATTGGAAAAGAACGGTAAAAAGGAAGCTGTGCTGACATGCATCAATCCCATTCGATTTTTTAGGATTCTACAACACCAAATTGGAATCATAAAAAAAGAGAGATGTGCTGACATGCATCAATTGCGTTGGAATCCTTTCTTGCTGCCCCCTTCTGATATCACCTCACGCCTTGAGGTGTATTTTGAGGCGCCTCAAAATATCACCTCACGCCTTCCTCCTCATAAACCCCCTCTCTTTGAGTCACCTCATGCCCCGGTTGCACGCCGACTGCTTGGGCAGACCGACGAGACACAAAAGAGAGCAGCAGGCGCAGCAGCAGACTGGACTGACCTCCTGGAATGTGGGTTCGGGATGTGGGGAGAGAGAGGAGGCTAATGATTGGGAAGAATCTAATTGGGGGATTAGGAGAGACAAAAGAGTGAAGGAGACGCAGCAGAAGACTGGACTGCCCTCCTGGTATGTGGGTTGGGGGTTGGGGAAAAAACGGTAAGGAGAAGAGATGGAGATGAGAAGGCTTATGGTTGAAAACGGAATGCATGGAAGAAAATGGTAAAGGATAAGAGTGGGGCTCCCAGGAGGAATCATGAGGTAAAAGTGATGGAGGAACGGCGGAATCGCTTTCGAGAATTCTCATAAGTGATTTCAGCAGAGGTGATGGAGGAAAGATACTTTTGAGGCGCCTCAAAACTAGAATTCTCATAAGTGATTCCAACAGAGGTGATGGAGGAAAGATGGAAACGGAATGCATCAGGTTGAAAAGGCAACCACAGAAGGCAGCAGTGCAAATCAAGCTGGATGCTGTGTTGCGCATGAGCGTCTGAGGCAGGCTGGCCCCTCCCATAAGAGAGAAATCAGGGGAACAAGATGCGTGGAGGGACAAAGGAAGGAAGGAAGGAAGGAAGGAAGGCACCACCGCCTGGGTCACCCCTCCCTGCCACGCCTTCGTGGCATGCACTCCCGTCTCCTTGTCTCTGGTCTCCCCAGGTCTCTGCCTCCCCTGCCGCCCTCACCTGCCCCGCCCTATCTTCCTTGCGTCGAGGGGCGGCAGCGCGCCGCTCCTCACGCCTCCTCGTTTCCCCCGACGACTGCTCCTCTGCAGACCCTCCACATGGACGTGTGGGGCCCAGCCCGCGTCAGTGGACAGAGCCGCGAGCGCTACTTTCTGCTGGTAGTTGATGACTGAAGGAAGGAAGGAAGGAAGGAAGGAAGGAAGGAAGGAAGGAAGGAAGGAAGGAAGGAAGGAAGGAAGGAAGGAAGGAAGGAAGGAAGGAAGGAAGGAAGGAAGGAAGGAAGGAAGGAAGGAAGGAAGGAAGGAAGGAAGGAAGGAAGGAAGGAAGGAAGGAAGGAAGGAAGGAAGGAAGGAAGGAAGGAAGGAAGGAAGGAAGGAAGGAAGGAAGGAAGGAAGGAAGGAAGGAAGGAAGGAAGGAAGGAAGGAAGGAAGGAAGGAAGGAAGGAAGGAAGGAAGGAAGGAAGGAAGGAAGGAAGGAAGGAAGGAAGGAAGGAAGCGGTACCAACCAAGCTGGATGCTGCGCATGAGCGTCTGAGTCAGGCTGGCCCCTCCCATAAGGAACAGATCGCGAGCAGGAGCAGGAGCAGCAGCAGCACCGCTAGCAGCAGCACCCATGACATCAGAGTTTGGCGCTGAGGGCTGGCTGGGGTCCGGTACAGGGTCGTACATTATTGGCGCTCTGCAACACATAGGAAGGAAAAGTGGAAAAAAAAAAAAAAAAAAAAAGGGTTTTAGGGAGGTTTTTTTTTCTCCAGAAATCCTAAAAAATGAATTCTCAAGACCTGTTACAAATGGTATGTAATTATACATTATGGTTGCATATCCCTGCTTTTCCTTAGCAAACACATTCTGCCGCTGAACGCCCTGCGCCGATGCCAACCTCCTGACATCCTCGTTTAGAAGCGCCTCACCATATGCTGTAAGTAGCACTACAGTGACCCTGCTTTTACACAGCTCCACCACCACGTTCTGAGCTGAACCACCCGCACGGCGTCCTCGTATTAAAAAATATAAGCTCGAAGATATAGTACAGTAAACCTGCTATTGCACACACCTGTTCTTTCACCTACCTGCTATTGCACACACCCGTTCTTTCACATACCTGCTATTGCACACACCTGTTCTTTCACCTACCTGCTATTGCACACACCCGTTCTTTCACATACCTGCTATTGCACACACCTGTTCTTTCACCTACCTGCTATTGCACACACCTGTTCTTTCACATACCTGCTATTGCACACACCTGTTCTTTCACCTACCTGCTATTGCACACACCTGTTCTTTCACCTACCTGCTATTGCACACACCTGTTCTTTCACATACCTGCTATTGCACACACCTGTTCTTTCACCTACCTGCTATTGCACACACCTGTTCTTTCACCTACCTGCTATTGCACACACCTGTTCTTTCACCTACCTGCTATTGCACACACCTGTTCTTTCACCTACCTGCTATTGCACACACCTGTTCTTTCACCTACCTGCTTTTACACAGCTCCACCACCACGTTCTGAGGCTGCACGCTCCGCACCACCCGCATGGCGTCCTCAGCAGCCGTTTCCGACACATGCGTCGTGCCGAGAATAAAGATCTCGCGAGGTAAGCGGCGGCTGCTGCTAGTATCAGTACCGCCTGCTTCGTCGTCCTCTACTGGTTGCTGCACCACTACCAGCACGCCACGTCGGACTAGATCCATCAAATCCGGGTATCGCTCGGCGACGATGCTGTATGTCGTTTCCGCGGTGGCTTTCCGGTAATCGAAACCCAGCACGGGTGGCTCTGGCCATGCTGACGTGTCTTCCTGTGATGACGTGGCGGACTGTGGAGAAATGGTGCTTTTAAACGTGGATGACGAGGACGCACGCACCCGAATGGCTGAAGATACTGGAATTTTAGAGCCAGTAGGAGATTCTAATTTGGTACGGAATGGGTATTGTGACTTGAGATTCCTAACGTCTGCATTCCCGAAGAGATGCGAAGGTTTCGCTAATCTGGTCGAATTCAGGTTGTGTGCGCTGTCTCGCGTACGGTTCGCTTGCTTCGCGAGTCCAGTCGATTTCAGACTGCGATCGGCAGTCGCGATAGGGGAAAGCTGAATCTGATGCGCAGCCATGGTTAGTGCGCTGCCGTTAGTGAAGCATCTAATCTTGACGCCGCGAACAACTCGTCGGTTTCGCTAGCCCTGTTGCCTTCGCTAGCGAAACCGGAGCGCCGCTAGTCTGATGTTTTAGCCAGGACTGATACATTAGTTTTTATTCCGTCACCACAAGCATCGGATGAGACAACAGCGGACTTAGTATATTCCTGATACAAGCTCGCTCCTTTATAATAATTTGTGGAGTGGCGAAACGAGTTGTGTATAATATGCATTTATTAGTATATGCATTTTTTCCAGCACGACAAGTCCACAAAACTTCGTGTCGACAACTGGCGACCAAGGCGGTGCGCGAAACTTTGGTGATTAGAAGGTGGCTGCCGGTGGACCTGACCTGGAATCAGCTTTGAATCACGAAACGGAAACATAAGGCTCGGACGGTGTCACGCGAAAATCTTGCTAGTTGCCAGAATACTGTCCAAGTTTCCTTCTTTTCTCTCGCCGTCCCGACTCGGGCTCCGTGGCGTGCCGCGCGATGCGGTTCCTGTAAAGGGGACAATAGACCCACGACGCTAGCATATTGCCTCTCAAACGCCTGTAAATTATTAGGTCTACTACACTGACCCTCTCTACACAATCATCGTTACTGTCAATTTCACTTCGACTAGGACGGGTTAGACACTCTCTTGCCCGGTCCGCAGTCAGTACCTTTTTCGAGCGTATCTCGTTTCCAGAGTTGTATTTGCCACGTCGATCTCGTTGGCTTACCTACTGCTGTTACAAATTTCGAGGCGGCCGTGCAGATAAACTTCGTAACCTGGTTACCCTCGCTCGCTTACTCTCTCGGTAGAAGATTAGGTAATCATGTACAGAATGACCTTTGACGATGGCGCAAGTTGGTCGCCGGTAACCAGCAGCAGAGGGTGCGAACTCAGACAAGTTCGCGACAGCACCAGCGACTGCAGCAGACTCGTTAATTCAGGAGGCTCGGAACCGTGCTGTTCCTATGCGCGCGACACGACGGCGGCGGGAGACGACGTCGTCCAACGAAGTCCTAGGCTATCCGAGTCGCAACTCACGACTAGAGCGCGCACTCCATCCTTTTCGATTTCCGACTCCGAGTTGAGCTCAGGCTCAGAGTCAGGCTTGGGGTCAGGCTCGGAAATAGGCTCGGCCTCGGGCATGTCAGGCTCGGCGGTTCGGCAGGGAGCTGCAGGCGCCGTGCAGCGGCCCTGCTCCGGGTCGGTTCGCCGGCCGTATTCCTCGCTGCTGCTGCTGCCCGTCCTGTTGTTGCTACTGGCCGCGTCGCCCGCTCCGCCCGTGCTAGCCGTTGACATGAACAGCGCACATGGTAAGGCCCCGGCTCGTGAAATGCTCAGGCTTAAGATTTACTGTGGTTGGTTATGAGTCGACTCGAAATCTTCGCTCCGCCCGTGCTAGCCGTTGACATGAACAGCGCACACGGTAAGTCTCCGGCTCGTGAAAAGCTCAGACTCAACATTTACTGTGACTGGGCTTTGAGTCGACGGGAAAACCTCGGGTTCGCTCGTGCTAGCCGTTGGTGTGAACAACGCCTGGTACGAGTTTCGAGTCGGCTAAAATCTTCGGTTTTATAGTCGCCATGAATAGCGCCCACGGACGCAAGTTCCGGACAAAAACAGACTCGCGGAACTTGCGGCCAAGGCCAAGGCACGAGTCAACGGCGCTTCTACCCGTGCTAACCGCTGTGAGCGATTTCTAAAAAGTAAAAAAATCCGAAAAACCAACGGGATGTGTTACCCCCCCCCCCCCCCCCCCCCCCTCCCTTCTGGTTTCCTTTCTCCCCTCTTTCCCGTCCTGCCTCTTCCAGTGATGGCGCTGATAGAGATGCGCGTGCCGCTGCGAGTGACGGGCATGCAGTGGTGGCGCACCAACGGGAAAGAATCACTATGTCACCTCCCCCCCTCCCCCTCCTCCCCCCCCTCTCCCCCTCCCCTCTAACCCCACCCCAACCCCCCTCCTCCCCCTTTCCCCTTCACAACCTCGCCGCGTTGCTCCCCCACTTCCCCCTACGCTCCCGTTTTCCCCAGTGATGATGCTGATAGAGTTGCGCACGTCGCCGGGAGTGACGGGGATGCAATGGCGGAGCATTTAGGACCTCTCAAAACCATTATTCCCCCCACCCCCCCCTCTTCTCCTCCTCCCTTCCCCCCGCCCCGCTCCCCTTTTCCGCCAGCGTTGGCGCTGATAGAGATGCGCGTGGCGCTGGGGGTGACGGGCATGCAGCGGTGGCGCACCAACGGGACGTCTCAAACCCTTCTTCACCCCGCTGTCTTCCCCCTCCCCCCGCCCCCCACCCCACCCCCCCAGCGTTGGCGCTGATAGAGATGCGCGTGGCGCTGGGGGTGACGGGCATGCAGTGGTGGCGCACCAACGGGAAGGTCGTGTGCGGCGCGTGGATAGGCGTCGAGTGCGACACCAAGGGGAACGTTGTCTCCGTGTAAGGGGCTTGTAACGGGACAGCTTGTAACGGGGATATTAGATGTGTGCAGACGGGCATGCAATGTTGGCGAACCAACAGGAAGGTGGTCTGCGGTGCGTGGATAGGCGCCGAGTGCGACACCAAGGGGAACGTCGTCTCCGTCCGTGTAAGGGGGCTAGCTAGTAACGAGAATAGTGGGTTTCGCGGTGAATGCTTTGGGGTCTGATTTGGTGGATTGCGGCGCTCGCTGCTGAAAATGCTGCTAATTTGTGTTATGTTTCCCCCATGTCGTGTCGTTTTGTGACTGTTCTGCTGCACGGCTTACAACGTGATCTCACCGTACCGGGTCTCCTCTTGAGGCGCCTCAAAAGGCGCTCGCTGCTGAAAATGTTGCTAATTTGTGTTATTTTTCCCCCATGCCTTGTGTTGTGACTGAAGCACGGCTTACAACGTAATTTATATCAAGATTGACCAGGTCTCCAAGATTTATATCAGGATCGATGAAATGGTGTGCAATAATGTGTGCTATTTTTCAACCCCATGTCGTGTCGTGTTGTGTTGTGTCGTGTTGTGACTGCAGCACGGCTTACAACGTGATCACCGTACCGGGTCTGCTCCCGAACAGCTTCACCAAGCTTAAAACCCTCACCTACCTGTACGTGCTCTACCTGCCCGCTACGTGCTCTATCTGCCCGCAACGTGCTCTATCTGCCCGCAACGTGCTCTATCTGCCCGCTACGTGCTCTACCTGCCCGCTACGTGCTCTATCTGCCCGCAACGTGCTCTATCTGCCCGCAACGTGCTCTATCTGCCCGCTACGTGCTCTACCTGCCCGCTACGTGCTCTACCTGCCCGCAACGTGCTCTATCTGCCCGCAACGTGCTCTATCTGCCCGCAACGTACTCTATCTGCCCGCAACGTGCTCTATCTGCCCGCAACGTGCTCTATCTGCCCGCAACGTGCTCTATCTGCCCGCAACGTGCTCTATCTGCCCGCAACGTGCTCTATCTGCCCGCAACGTGCTCTATCTGCCCGCAACGTGCTCTACCTGCCCGCAACGTGCTCTACCTGCCCGCAACGTGCTCTATCTGCCCGCAACGTGCTCTATCTCGCTCCACTCTGCTTTGATGTTTGAGTCGACTCAAAAGCCTCCTCCCCAGCAGCTTCACCAAGCTCAAAACCCCCACCTACCTGTACGTGCTCTCTCTCTTGCTGCTCGGCGGCCTTTACCTATATTTGTACGTGCTGAAAACCCTTACCCACCTGTTCGTCCTCTGCTCGCCTCTGCTTCTCTCCCCTCCTACTCCACTCCCTCTCCCCCTTCCCCCTCCCCCCTACCCCTGAAGAACTTCTCCTCCAACCGCCTTAATGTGTCATGAGTCCAATTTGCACGGCCCTTGCAGCACCTCCTATCGAGGTGACTTTTGAGTCGACTCAAAAGTCACCTCCAGCCGCCTTAATGAGCCATTAGTCCAATTCGCGCGGCCCTTGCGACACCTCCCATCTGTTTCCCTTTTCTCCTCCCCTTTCCTCCCCCTTCCTCCCCCGTGTTTCTCGCTTCCCTCCTCCCCCCCCCCTACACCCCCGTCCCCCACAGCGATCTCTCCTCTAATCGCCACAACGCGTCACTCAACCTATCCGTTTCCCCCCTTGCTGCACCTCCCATCTGTCCGCTTTTTCTCCTCCCCCTACCCCATTCCCCTCTCCCCCCTCTCTCTCCCCCTCCTCCCCCGCAGCGATCTCTCCTCCAATCGTCTCAACGCGTTGCTAGACCAATTCGCGCGGCCTTTGCTGCACCTCCCCAGCCTCCGCGTTCTGTGAGTCTCCCATCCCTCCCTTCCCTAGCCTTTTCCCTCTTCCCCCATTTCGCTCCCTGGCTCAACCCATTGACCAATTCGAGCCTTTGCTGCACCTCCCCAACCTCCGTGCTCTGTGAGTCTCCCCTCCCCTATCCTCTTCCATCCTCCATCGTCCCTCCATCCTCATTCATTCTTGTCTCCTCACCCATCCCCTCCACCTCCCCACTTCACCTCCCCTCCCTTCCTCCCCCCCTCCACCTCCCCCCTTCACCTCCCCTACCCCCTCCCCGCGCCAGGAGTCTGAACAACAAGAAGCTCTGGGGTTCTGGGCCCTCCTACCTTCTGCCTTAGGGTTCAACTCGTAGCCCCCTTCTCTTCCTCATTCATTCATGTCTGCTCCCCTCTTTCCCTCTCCACCCCCTCCTTCTCCCCCGTCGCCAGGAGTCTGAACAACAACTAGCTCTGGGGTTCTGCGCCCTCTTACCTTCTGCAATAGAGGCTTCGACTTGTAACCCTCCTCTCTTCTTGTTCGTTCATGTCTGCTTCCCCCTCCCTCACCTCCCCTGCTCTGCCAGGAGTCTCAACAACAACAAGCTCTGGGGTTCTGTGCCCTCCTACCTTCTGCAGAAACCGAAGCTTCAGAAACTGTAAGACTGCGCTCCCCTCCCTACCTCTCTGTGAGCCCCCTTCCTTCCTTGCCTTGCTCCTGTCACAACTCACCTCTGGGGTTCTGTCCCCTCCTACCTGCTGCTTCGGCCAGAGCCCTTCAGAAACTGTAAGAGCCTCAGAAGCTTCAGAAGCACTTCAACTCGCCATCGACCCATCTACCCCACCCAACCCCCTCCCCTTTCCTCCCCTTCGCCTCCCCTTCCCTCCCCACTTCTCCCCTCCCCTGCACCACCCCTCCCCACTTCAACCCCCACTCCACTCCTCCCCTTCCTCACCGGAGCTCTCCCACCCAAGAAGTCCCACAGCCTTCTTGTGTGACGGCTCCTCCATGGAGTTTGTTTCGTTGTCCTATACAACACGAGTTAATGGAAGTAAGGCGTCCGCAGCCCACCTGTCCTTTCTTGACAGCTCCTCACCGGAGCCCTCCCAACCAAAAAGTCCCACAGCCTTCTTGTGTGACGGCTCCTCCTCACATTCCTCCCCTCCCATCCCATCCCTTTTCTTGCTCAACTTTCTCACAGGAACTCTCCCACCCAAGAAGTCCAACACCCTCTCTACTCTCTCAATCCCCCACAACGTTTTTCTCCCGTTCCTCCCCTCTCCCCCCTCCCCATCCCCCACCCCATCCCCCAACCCCTTCCACCAACCAGACTCCTATCGCGCAACTTTCTCACAGGAACCCTCCCACCCAAGAAATCCAACACCCTCTCCACCCTTTCAATCTCCCACAACTTCCTACGCGGCCACTTCTTATTCTCATGTTCTTCCCCTGCCATCCCATCCCTTCTCCTCTCTCCCTCCCTCCATACCCCCCATCTAACCCTCGCCCACCAGCCTCCTATCACGCAACTTTCTAACCGGAACTTTCCCACCCAAGAAGTCCAACACCCTCTCTACTCTCTCAGTCCCCCACAACTTTCATGTTCCTCCCCTCCCTCCCACACCCCCCCTCCCATCCCCCCTTTTCAGCCTCCTATCACGCAACTTCCTCACAGGAACCCTCCCACCCAAGAAATCCAAGACCCTCTCAACTCTCTCAATCGCCCACAACTTTATCCGTGGCCGTTTCCCCTTCACCATGTCATGCAACACCGTGGGTAACTGCCTCGATAACCCTGGGGCGAGGTGTACTAGTTACCCTCAGCGCACGCCGTCCCGTTGCCTGGCCCAGTGTGGGGGTGCGGAGGTGGGCGCTTCGGCTGGTACTGCTGCTACCGCTGCTTCTGCTGCTGCTGCTGCTGCTGTCAGTACTGCTGCTGTCACTACTACTGCTGGTCCTGCAAGAAGCCCTGCTGCTCTGATAGCTGCTGCTGCTGCTGCCGATGCCGCTGCTGCTGCTGCTGCTCGTTCTACCCCCCGCACCGCTGCATCCGCCTCTCCAACCGCTCTCAAACCCACCAACACCAACACCACCGCTGCCTCCTCCTCTTCCTTCTCGAACCCATCGTCGGTCTACTCAGCAGCGCCCTTCCTCACCCCCTGTGGGGGCTACGGGCGGTGCCTGCCCAGTGTGGACGACACGCCTGGGGATGTATCCGCCTCGCTGCTCCCTGCTACTCAGTGGACGTGCATGTGCGCTGCTGGGGCACGTCTCAAAGACACCGACGTGTGCGGTGAGTGGTCTAGCTGTATGTGCATGGGTGGGGTGCGGTGAAGGATATCTATCGGAGCGTCAGTCATCCTATACTACTCGGCAGCGCCCTTTCTGACGCCCTGTGGGGGTTACGGGCGGTGCCAGCCGAGTGTGGACGACTCTCCTGGGGATGTTTCAGCCTCCTTACTGCCTGCCACGCAGTGGACGTGCATGTGCGCTGCTGGGGCGCGTCTCAAAGACAATGACGTGTGCGGTGAGTGGTATTATTGTTGTGGGTGGGGAGTGCTGCTTGGGTTCCAGCCCAGTGTGGATGATTCTCCTGGGGACGTCTCGGCCTTGCTGCTCCCGGCTACGCAGTGGACGTGCATGTGCACTGCTGGGGCGAGTCTCAAGGACAATGACGTGTGCGGTGAGTGCTATATCTGTTGTGGGTGTGGGTGTGTGCAGTGAGGGCTTCTCGGCCTCCTTACTCCCAGCTACGCAGTGGACGTGCATGTGCGCTTCTGGAGCGTACCTGAAAGACAATGACGTGTGCGGTGAGTGGTACAGATGAATGGGTGGAGTGCGGTGAGGGGTATCTGTCAGTCAGTCATCCTACCGCTCTACTCGGCAGCGTCGTTCCTGACCCCCTGTGGGGGCTGCGGACGGTGCCAGCCCAGAGTGGACGATTCCTGTGGGGTCCTACCAGCTACCCAGTGGACCTGCACGTGCACTGCAGGCCCACCGGTCTTGCCTGATCTGTTCAATCCATATCTCCCCTCCCTGTCTGTCATCCCTGCCCCGCACCCCATCCCTCCCCGTCCCTAGAGTGTGAGAAGAAAGCCAGTTGCGCCAACCACCACTGCCCTCCCATGTCCTTCTGCAAGCCGCGCCTGTCGTGCCTTATCGTCTCAATATCTCTCCCCCCTTGTCCCTCCCTCCCTCCCCTCTGTACCTCCCCTTTCCAGAGTGTGAGTAAGAAAGCCAGTTGTGTCGACCACCACTGCCCCTCGATGTCTTCCTGCAAGCCGCACCTGTCCTGCTTGGGCTATAAGTGCGAGTGCCAGTGGCCTCTTGTCCCCGTTACAGGCGCGAGCGGTCACGTGCTTAAGTGCCGCCCCCAGTGGCCCTGGGAGAAGAAACAAAAACGCAGGAATTAGAAAGAAGTATGGACTCGACGTAGTCTGGGATAGGTAGCTGATTTGTTTCCCCCTTTGATTAAGGGTGTACTGGTAATCACTGCTGGGTGCTGATTAGTTATTATATGTTTTTTTTTAATTATTATGCCTCAGAAATACATCGACCATTGCGTGCAATTCAACCTAAAGTAGTACACATTATACATTATATGAATTTACCACCACAGTGTTCCTCAACAATAGCAGCAAATGAACACTGTAGCAAAATTAATGTACCCCACATCACTGTAGCTGTGAGGGGAGAGGAAGGAGGGCGGGGGAAGGCAACGGTGAGGGGAGAGGGGAATGTACAGGTTAGGGCGCATGCTAGGCGAGGAATTCACAGCAGCTAGCTCCTGGTGGAATATGCAGGGCGAACCGGCCTGGAGCTGTGAGGGGAGAGGAAGGAGGGCGGGGGAAGGCAACGGTGGGGGGAGAGGGGAATGTACAGGTTAGGGCGCATGCTAGGCGAGGAATTCACAGCAGCTAGCTCCTGGTGGAATATGCAGGGCGAACCGGCCTGGAGCTGTGAGGGGAGAGGAAGGAGGGCGGGGGAAGGCAACGGTGGGGGGAGAGGGGAATGTACAGGTTAGGGCGCATGCTAGGCGAGGAATTCACAGCAGCTAGCTCCTGGTGGAATATGCAGGGCGAACCGGCCTGGAGCTGTGAGGGGAGAGGAAGGAGGGCGGGGGAAGGCAACGGTGGGGGGAGAGGGGAATGTACAGGTTAGGGCGCATGCTAGGCGAGGAATTCACAGCAGCTAGCTCCTGGTGGAATATGCAGGGCGAACCGGCCTGGAGCTGTGAGGGGAGAGGAAGGAGGGCGGGGGAAGGCAACGGTGGGGGGAGAGGGGAATGTACAGGTTAGGGCGCATGCTAGGCGAGGAATTCACAGCAGCTAGCTCCTGGTGGAATATGCAGGGCGAACCGGCCTGGAGCTGTGAGGGGAGAGGAAGGAGGGCGGGGGAAGGCAACGGTGGGGGGAGAGGGGAATGTACAGGTTAGGGCGCATGCTAGGCGAGGAATTCACAGCAGCTAGCTCCTGGTGGAATATGCAGGGCGAACCGGCCTGGAGCTGTGAGGGGAGAGGAAGGAGGGCGGGGGAAGGCAACGGTGGGGGGAGAGGGGAATGTACAGGTTAGGGCGCATGCTAGGCGAGGAATTCACAGCAGCTAGCTCCTGGTGGAATATGCAGGGCGAACCGGCCTGGAGCTGTGAGGGGAGAGGAAGGAGGGCGGGGGAAGGCAACGGTGGGGGGAGAGGGGAATGTACAGGTTAGGGCGCATGCTAGGCGAGGAATTCACAGCAGCTAGCTCCTGGTGGAATATGCAGGGCGAACCGGCCTGGAGCTGTGAGGGGAGAGGAAGGAGGGCGGGGGAAGGCAACGGTGGGGGGAGAGGGGAATGTACAGGTTAGGGCGCATGCTAGGCGAGGAATTCACAGCAGCTAGCTCCTGGTGGAATATGCAGGGCGAACCGGCCTGGAGCTGTGAGGGGAGAGGAAGGAGGGCGGGGGAAGGCAACGGTGGGGGGAGAGGGGAATGTACAGGTTAGGGCGCATGCTAGGCGAGGAATTCACAGCAGCTAGCTCCTGGTGGAATATGCAGGGCGAACCGGCCTGGAGCTGTGAGGGGAGAGGAAGGAGGGCGGGGGAAGGCAACGGTGGGGGGAGAGGGGAATGTACAGGTTAGGGCGCATGCTAGGCGAGGAATTCACAGCAGCTAGCTCCTGGTGGAATATGCAGGGCGAACCGGCCTGGAGCTGTGAGGGGAGAGGAAGGAGGGCGGGGGAAGGCAACGGTGGGGGGAGAGGGGAATGTACAGGTTAGGGCGCATGCTAGGCGAGGAATTCACAGCAGCTAGCTCCTGGTGGAATATGCAGGGCGAACCGGCCTGGAGCTGTGAGGGGAGAGGAAGGAGGGCGGGGGAAGGCAACGGTGGGGGGAGAGGGGAATGTACAGGTTAGGGCGCATGCTAGGCGAGGAATTCACAGCAGCTAGCTCCTGGTGGAATATGCAGGGCGAACCGGCCTGGAGCTGTGAGGGGAGAGGAAGGAGGGCGGGGGAAGGCAACGGTGGGGGGAGAGGGGAATGTACAGGTTAGGGCGCATGCTAGGCGAGGAATTCACAGCAGCTAGCTCCTGGTGGAATATGCAGGGCGAACCGGCCTGGAGCTGTGAGGGGAGAGGAAGGAGGGCGGGGGAAGGCAACGGTGGGGGGAGAGGGGAATGTACAGGTTAGGGCGCATGCTAGGCGAGGAATTCACAGCAGCTAGCTCCTGGTGGAATATGCAGGGCGAACCGGCCTGGAGCTGTGAGGGGAGAGGAAGGAGGGCGGGGGAAGGCAACGGTGGGGGGAGAGGGGAATGTACAGGTTAGGGCGCATGCTAGGCGAGGAATTCACAGCAGCTGGCTCCTGGTGGAATATGCAGGGCGAACCGGCCTGGAGCTGTGAGGGGAGAGGAAGGAGGGCGGGGGAAGGCAACGGTGGGGGGAGAGGGGAATGTACAGGTTAGGGCGCATGCTAGGCGAGGAATTCACAGCAGCTAGCTCCTGGTGGAATATGCAGGGCGAACCGGCCTGGAGCTGTGAGGGGAGAGGAAGGAGGGCGGGGGAAGGCAACGGTGGGGGGAGAGGGGAATGTACAGGTTAGGGCGCATGCTAGGCGAGGAATTCACAGCAGCTAGCTCCTGGTGGAATATGCAGGGCGAACCGGCCTGGAGCTGTGAGGGGAGAGGAAGGAGGGCGGGGGAAGGCAACGGTGGGGGGAGAGGGGAATGTACAGGTTAGGGCGCATGCTAGGCGAGGAATTCACAGCAGCTAGCTCCTGGTGGAATATGCAGGGCGAACCGGCCTGGAGCTGTGAGGGGAGAGGAAGGAGGGCGGGGGAAGGCAACGGTGGGGGGAGAGGGGAATGTACAGGTTAGGGCGCATGCTAGGCGAGGAATTCACAGCAGCTAGCTCCTGGTGGAATATGCAGGGCGAACCGGCCTGGAGCTGTGAGGGGAGAGGAAGGAGGGCGGGGGAAGGCAACGGTGGGGGGAGAGGGGAATGTACAGGTTAGGGCGCATGCTAGGCGAGGAATTCACAGCAGCTAGCTCCTGGTGGAATATGCAGGGCGAACCGGCCTGGAGCTGTGAGGGGAGAGGAAGGAGGGCGGGGGAAGGCAACGGTGGGGGGAGAGGGGAATGTACAGGTTAGGGCGCATGCTAGGCGAGGAATTCACAGCAGCTAGCTCCTGGTGGAATATGCAGGGCGAACCGGCCTGGAGCTGTGAGGGGAGAGGAAGGAGGGCGGGGGAAGGCAACGGTGGGGGGAGAGGGGAATGTACAGGTTAGGGCGCATGCTAGGCGAGGAATTCACAGCAGCTAGCTCCTGGTGGAATATGCAGGGCGAACCGGCCTGGAGCTGTGAGGGGAGAGGAAGGAGGGCGGGGGAAGGCAACGGTGGGGGGAGAGGGGAATGTACAGGTTAGGGCGCATGCTAGGCGAGGAATTCACAGCAGCTGGCTCCTGGTGGAATATGCAGGGCGAACCGGCCTGGAGCTGTGAGGGGAGAGGAAGGAGGGCGGGGGAAGGCAACGGTGGGGGGAGAGGGGAATGTACAGGTTAGGGCGCATGCTAGGCGAGGAATTCACAGCAGCTAGCTCCTGGTGGAATATGCAGGGCGAACCGGCCTGGAGCTGTGAGGGGAGAGGAAGGAGGGCGGGGGAAGGCAACGGTGGGGGGAGAGGGGAATGTACAGGTTAGGGCGCATGCTAGGCGAGGAATTCACAGCAGCTAGCTCCTGGTGGAATATGCAGGGCGAACCGGCCTGGAGCTGTGAGGGGAGAGGAAGGAGGGCGGGGGAAGGCAACGGTGGGGGGAGAGGGGAATGTACAGGTTAGGGCGCATGCTAGGCGAGGAATTCACAGCAGCTAGCTCCTGGTGGAATATGCAGGGCGAACCGGCCTGGAGCTGTGAGGGGAGAGGAAGGAGGGCGGGGGAAGGCAACGGTGGGGGGAGAGGGGAATGTACAGGTTAGGGCGCATGCTAGGCGAGGAATTCACAGCAGCTAGCTCCTGGTGGAATATGCAGGGCGAACCGGCCTGGAGCTGTGAGGGGAGAGGAAGGAGGGCGGGGGAAGGCAACGGTGGGGGGAGAGGGGAATGTACAGGTTAGGGCGCATGCTAGGCGAGGAATTCACAGCAGCTAGCTCCTGGTGGAATATGCAGGGCGAACCGGCCTGGAGCTGTGAGGGGAGAGGAAGGAGGGCGGGGGAAGGCAACGGTGGGGGGAGAGGGGAATGTACAGGTTAGGGCGCATGCTAGGCGAGGAATTCACAGCAGCTAGCTCCTGGTGGAATATGCAGGGCGAACCGGCCTGGAGCTGTGAGGGGAGAGGAAGGAGGGCGGGGGAAGGCAACGGTGGGGGGAGAGGGGAATGTACAGGTTAGGGCGCATGCTAGGCGAGGAATTCACAGCAGCTAGCTCCTGGTGGAATATGCAGGGCGACCCGGCTAGTAGCTGGTGATGGGGAATGTGGGGAGGGAGGGGGCGGGTGAGGAAAAAGGTGAGGGGGGTATGAGCTGGTTACGGCATTCGCACCAAACACCAGCTCCTGGTGGAATATGCAGGGCGACCCAGCTAGGAACTGGTGATGAAGCAAATTGGAGAGGGGCGAAAGGGAGAAGTGAGTGCAAGCCAACAATGCCAAAAGAGGCATTCACAGCAGCTAGCTCCTGGTGGAATATGCAGGTCGAACCTGCAAGTAGCTGGTGATGGGGCAAAGGGGAAGGGGGAAGGAGGAGAACGGGGGGGAGAAGGCAGGGTGTGGGTTTGTACAGGTTTGCCACATGCCAGATGTGGAATATGCAGGGCGATGGGGGAAGGGGGGGGGGAGAAAGGGGTGGGGTTGTGCTGCAGGTTAGGGGTCAAGGAGCCAGATGTGGCATTCACAGCAGCTAGCTCCTGGCCGAATAGACTTCTGAGTCGACTCAAAAGTCACTTTGTGGAGAGTACTGAGTGGCTGATTACCCACCTGACTTTTGAGTCGACTCAAAAGTGGGGTTGTGCTGCAGGTTAGGGGTCAAGGAGCCAGATGTGGCATTCACAGCAGCTAGCTCACTGCAAGGCGAACCGGCTAGTAGCTGGTGATGGGCAAGTTAGGGCATTCACAGCAACTAGCTCCTGGCCGAATATGCAGGGCGAACCAATCAGGAGACTCACATCAAACAGCGTGTCTCCAAGCTTCATCTTCATGCTCCCATCATCATACACCAGAACTTTACAGGCTCCTGGGTGGACCCAAGAGTCAGAACCTTGCAGGCTGCTTTTGAGTATGATGATATGATCATAAGGCGATTTTTGAGTATGATGATACGATCATAAGGCGATTTTTTAGTCGACTCAAAAATAAGCCACATACTCGCATCAAACAGCATGTCGCCAAGTCTCATATTCACGCTCCCATCATCATACACCAGAATCTTCCCGATCCCTAAGTCCCAACCTAATAAAACTAAAACTTTTAACTGGATACTCACATCGAATAGAGTGTCGCCAAGCTTCATCTTCACGCTCCCATCATCATACACCAAAATCTTCCCGATCCGCCCCTCGGGCAGCGACGAAAGCTCATCCAACGGCCCAGGTTCGCCTGGCGCGAGCTCAGCTGCCCGCTCCCGGCGCACGGGCAGCGCGGCGGGCAGCTGGGAAAATATCATCCGGTCATCAAGAGAAGAAGAAGCAGCGGCATCAGCAGCAGCAGGGGGGTTCAAACCTAGCTCTCTGGCTGGGGGAACAGCAGCTTCATTGAAAGGGCGGGAGAGAGCCTCCTCGCCAAACTCAGCCTCGTTTAGAAGGTCTGAGGGGAGGGGAGAGAAGGGGAGAGATGGAAGGGGGATGAGAGAATGAGAGAACAAGAAGAATCAGCACCGGTGGTGGCTGGCTAGAGACCGTTCTGTGGCTGGGGGAACAGCAGCTTCGTTGAAAGTGCCTCCTCTCCAAACTCAGCCTCGTTTCGAAGGTCTGGGGTGAGGGAAAAGGAGAATGAGAGAATGAGCAAAGGAGAATGAGGGAATGAGCAAAGGAGAATGAGGGAATGAGGGAACAAGAAGCAGAAGCGGCTTTGTTGAAAGGGCGAGAAACAGCCTCCTCTTCAAACTCAGCCTCGTTCAAAAGGTCTGGGAGGAGAGAGGGGGAGAAAGGGAAGGGGAATGAGGGAAGAAGGGACTGAGGGAATGAGGGAACAAGAAGCAGCAGCAGCTTTGCTGAAAGGGCGGGACTGTCTGCTCTCCAAACTCAGCCTCGTTGAAAAGTTCTGGGAGGGGAGAGAGAAGGAGAATGTAGGAATGAGGGAAGAAAGCAGCTGGTGACGGCTAGCTAGAGACAGCTCTGTGGGTGGGGGCACTGCAGCAGCTTTGTTGAAAGGGCGGGAATGCTTCCTCTTCAAACTCAGTTATAGAGAGGTTATTTTTGAGACCGTCTAAAAAAAAAAAGGGACTGCTTCCTCTCCAAACTCAGCCTCGTTGAAAAGGTCTGGGAAGGGAGAGGGGAGAAGTGAGAGTTGGGATGAGGAAATGAGGGTCTGAGGCACCTCGAACATAGGATCAGATCAGGCAAGCATGATAATGCTTGAAACGGCTTTTGAGGCGCCTTAAAAGACAAGTTAGCACAGAAAAAGAAGAAGAAAGAGTTGAAACGGTTACCTGGTGGGCCAGTGTTTGGGGGGCGTAGAGGAAGCGTTGTGGGGTAGTAGCGACTGTAGTCCTGTTATTAGATGCAGAGGCGGGTAAATATCCATGTACGTATGTATGCAGGCACATATCCCACCAAAAAGAAAAAAAGAAAAAATAGTATTATTGTTTGAAAAGAAGAGATCAAGATTCGATTAAACATATAAAAAACCATGTCATTCCATTTTCAATCCACGTCACTCTGTCTTCAATCCAGGTCACTTCCTCTGCAATCAACGTCACACCCTCTGCAATCCCATTACTCCCTCTGTAATCCACATCACCCCGTTCTCCACCCACCCACCATGGTATCTCTCTTCTTTGCCTTCTTCTCGTCCAATTGGAACGAGCCACCTGGCACAATTCGTTTCAGGAGGAGAGGAAGAGGAGGAGTGGGAGGGGGGACGGGTGAGGAATGGGGGAAGGGGAATGGGGAAGGAGGAGTGGGGAAATGGAGCAGGGGAAACGGAGAGGGAGCAGAGGGGGGAATGGGGCAATCATTGAATCGTTTTTTTGTCAACACAAACATTGTTTACACATGTGTGCAATGGCAGCAGCAAGTCAAACGAATCAACTCAAAAATCGTCTTACCAGGAGCAGCAGAGAAGTCATGTGTTATCCCTGTTCCATCCACGGCCATTCCCTCTGCTTTCACACTCACCCCTCCCTCCTCTCTCGAGGTTTACCCAGCCTCACATGAACCAGCCAGCCATCTCACCAGGAGCAGAAAAGTCGCCCATCATCCCTGCACCATCCACGGTCATCCCCTCTGCTTTCACTCTCACCCCTCCCTCCTCTTTCACTTCACCTTCCCCTCCCCCCTCCTCCCCCTCCCCCTCCCCCTCCTCCTCCCCCTCCTCCACCTCCCCCTCCTCCTCCACCTCCCCCTCCTCCTCCTCCTCCTCCCCCCCAACCACCACCCCCATTGCCAAAACTGCTGCCCCCTTTGCCCATAGAGGGAGGCCCCACCCCCATCCCCGCTGCTGCTGCTGATGCACCAAAGCCAAAGGCAACGCGCACGGCAGCACCTGAGAGGAGGAGAAGGGGAGAGGAGCTACCAGCTGCTTTTCACATAACCATCGTCACCATGTCGTTACCATAGCTAGCATCGATGCATGTTTATGTCGGCACATGCACAAGTCGACTTTTGAGTCGACTCAAAAGTAAGCACATGCACAAGTCACATACATAAGGTGAGTCCACCAAGTCAATCACATCACACTCGCATAAGCACACACACACTCGCATATGCACACACACACTCGCATATGCACACACACACTCGCATATGCACACACACACTCGCATATGCACACACACACTCGCATATGCACACACACACTCGCATATGCACACACACACTCGCATATGCACACACACACTCGCATATGCACACACACACTCGCATATGCACACACACACACACGCCACTCGCACCTTGAAAGGCTCGTTTGGGTGCATTGGATGCATCGGCTTGTGATTGCTGCATCGGTGGGGTTGGGAGGAGGGAGCGCGAACGAGAGAGATGGAGAGAACTGGGTGGTAGTGAGGGGGAGAGGAAGAGCGATGGGGAGTGAGGGAGAGCAGGGGAGAAGGAGAGTGGCTGAAAGAGAGTGCGTGCGCGAAAGCAGAAGGACACGGTAAGTTCTACAGTGCAGAAATGGTGGATAATGTGGGAGGATTGGAGGGGAGGATTGGAGGGGAGGATTGGAGGGGAGGATTGGAGGGGAGGATTGGAGGGGAGGATTGGAGGGGAGGATTGGAGGGGAGGATTGGAGGGGAGGAGGGGAGGACTGGAGGGGAGGATTGGAGGGGGGGATTGGAGGGGAGGATTGGAGGGGAGGATTGGAGGGGAGGACTGGAGGGGAGGATTGGAGGGGGGGATTGGAGGGGAGGATTGGAGAAGAGGACTGGAGGGGAGGACTGGAGGGGAGGACTGGAGGGGAGGACTGGAGGGGAGGATTGGAGAAGAGGACTGGAGGGGAGGACTGGGAAGTAGGGATTGGGAGAAGGGGTAAGTACCAGGAGAATCTTTCGCAGCTCGTCTGGTAACTCCTGCTCTGCTGCTTCCTCTCTGTGTGTGCGGGTGGGGGGGGGGGTGTGTGAGTGTGTGCGAAGTGAGTGTGCGGAAAAATGATTGAGATGTCAAAAGCACACACACTGCCAGAGCAGTTGATCTGGTAGCTCCTGCTCTGCTGCTTCTTGAGAATTCTAAAAAACCAGTTGATCTGGTAGCTCCTGCTCTGCTGCTTCTTCTCTGTAAGGGGAGTGGGAGGTATAGCAAGCGTAGGTCTGAATCCTTGAGTAATAAAATGGGAGCGAAGAGAGAAGCAAGGGCAGGGAATGACGTGGCACAGCATGTTACGGCATGTCATGGCATGGCATGACATGTTATGGCACATGGCATGGCATGGCATGGCATGACATGTTATGGCACATGGCATGGCATGGCACATGGCACATGGCACAGCATGGCACATGGCACACAGCATAGCATGGCACATGGCACACAGCATGGCATGGCACATGGCACATGGCACACCGTATGGCATGGCACATGGCACATGGCACAAAGCATGGTATGGACATGTGGCACATGGCACATGGCACAGAGCATGGCTGCATCACTCACGGCTTGACTGCTTTCTTCTGGGCCCGTCTGGCCGGCACCTTGGGCACAAACTTTGGCTGCAAGCAAGCACAATCAGAAGTGTGCAGAGGGGTGGCAGGGGATAGGGAGGGATAGAGTGGGACAGCAGGGATGAGAAGGAAACCCACTAGCCGGCACCTTGGGCACAAAATTGGGCTGCAAGCACAATCAGAAGTGTGCAGAGGGGTGGCGGGGGAGAGAAAGGGATAGAGAATGTTAAAGAGGGATAGTGAGACTGTTTCAGCTCAGCAGGATTCGTGTATCCCCGTTATTAAAAGAGACTTCATAATCTCGTGTCATGCAGAATTAGAGTGCTTCTTCTTACCTTACGAACTCCTGCCGTGTCCCCCACTCCTGCTGCTGTTGCTGCCGAACCTGCTGCTCCCGAACCTGTTGCTGCTGGAGCTGTAGCTCCTGCAGCAACCGAACCGCCATCCCCAGCCTCAGTTTTAGGGGCGGAAGCGGAGGGCGCGGGCCTGGCGGAAGGGGAAGCGGAAGCTGCGCCACTGGCTCCGCCCAAACCCGAAACCCTCAACCCTTGCGCCAGAGCCGCCCCTGTTGTTTGCAGCCGTCCGATCGGATCCGAGACGCTGCCCAATCGCGGAGTCCCTGCGGCTATCCCCGCTTCCACGCCTCTCCCCGCTTGCGCTGCCCCTTCCGCCGAGGCCCCGCGCGCCCTCCCCCTTCCTCGTCCCCGTCCCCGCCCTCGCCCCCTCCCCGGAGCTCTTCCACCTGCATCAGCTGCGCCACCTGCGCCAGTTGCGCCACCTGCATCCGCCATTCGAGACCGCTATGGACGGTAGTGATGGTTCGGCTTCCCTAAATGACGATTTTACGGCGACACGCACGGAAGGAGCGCGACGAAAGTGAAGCCGCCGGGAGTCGCGTGACATAAGCCTTGGTAACTTGGTTACACAATCGCAGGAACGCAGGCTGTGCCTTCTCTGGTGACGGTTAATGAAATCCTGGTAAAAACGAGTTGACTTTTGAGTCGACTCAAAAGTAAAAACGCGCTACAAAGCAGCTCTCGCCAGCTACACAATCTGTGATTTAAACTTTTCGTGTTCAGACACCTCAAACCATACTACATCACTTGATTGCCATTTCGCCTGACTTAACAAAAAAAAAAAAAGGTTTCGGGTTTAGGGTTAAACATTAAAAGACCAAACAAGCTGCTGCATCCATCTGGGGCCACATCCAGGGTTGAGTTGAGACTTGCTTTATATTAATCTGAAACTTATTCTAGCTCCAACTCATTCTGTAACACGAACACACACATGGACAGACCCATTTCAACATTCGAACCGTTTTTTCTTCCTTCCTTCTCTTAATTTCTCGATGCAGCATCAAGAGCGATTACTTGGCAGGGCCAGGTCATGCGCACCATTCTCCTCCCCCCTATGCGTGCTACCGCCCAGCTTGGGCGTGCTTACACTGCTACACCAACTCACCAAGAATTCCCGGACCAAGAATTCCCAGACCAAGAATCCCCAGACCAAGAATACCCGGACCGAGAATTCCCGGACCAAGAGTTTCCTAAGCAGATATTACTTTTTAATGGCAGGGGTGTGTGCTCCATTCCCCATTTCCTTCGCCGCTACAGCCCCACCTGGGCTGGCTTTCACTCCTGCTGGCGATTTCCCAGCCGTCCCTCCCACTATCCCTCCCCCTTTACCCATCCCCGCCCCTCCTCCTGCTGCCGGGGGTTTTGGTCCCCCTCCTCCCACTGCTGCCCCTTTTACCCCCCCTGCTCCTGCTGTCATGCCTTTAATCCCCCCCACTCCTGCTGACCCACCCTGAACGCCCCCTGTTACTGCTGTTGTTCCTTTACCTCCCCCACCTCCTCCCCCTCCTACTCTTGCTCCTGCTCCTGCACCTACTCCTACTGCTGACCCTGCTTTCTTAACTGCTGCTCCGGCTGTAGCGCCAGCTGTAGCTCCCTTCACTCCTCCTCTTGCCGCCACTGCTTCTCTGCCCTTCCCTTCTCTCTCCCTCCCCTCCTTGGCCCTCCCTTCTCTCTCATACACCCTGAACATCAAAACAGACTTAGCCATTTGAGGTTCCCTCTCCAACGCTGCAATCACATCCTTTAGTATCACACTCCTAGGCCCCTGCTGCTTCACCAAACCTCCCGCCCCTCCCGCCCCAGCTGCCCCTGCTGTCCCTACTCCTGCCAAACCTGTAGCTCCGGCTGCCGAGCCTCCAGGCCTGGCACCACCGAGTTTGCCATCAGGTGTACCTGCACCAGATAACCCTCCCTCCCTGCCGCCCACTCCCGCACCAGAACCACCACCAGCCCCACCAACCCCTGAAACCACCCCTGCTGCTGACGTGGTAGCTCCTGATTGGCCCGCGGCTGCAGGACCTCCCGAAGCAAATCCTTCTGTACCTGTACCCGAGCCCGAGCCTGCACCTGAACCCGGACCTGCACCTGCCCCATCCTTGCCAGTCCTAGCCCCCACAACTACTCCCGTTCCTCCTGCTCCTGCTCCCGCTCCTGCCGCTCCTCCCCCTCCTCCTGCCGCTCCTCCTCCTGCTGCTCCTGCTGCTGCTTGCATCTTCTTTAGCTGAGCGTCGCGGAACCACTTAGCAAAGCGCGGGTCCACTCCCACCGCCACCCTCGCAGCTTCATTCGCCCGAGTTGCCTTCTCCTTCTCCTCCTCCATCTCCTTCGCCTGCCACAGAGGGTACAGGATACACGATACAGGGTACAGGATACACGATACAGGGTACAGGATACACGGAAAAATGTATAAGGGTTCAATCAACAAGAGTTTGAAGGTACACACAAAGAAAAACAGTGCCACAACACCTACCCTTGGCGTTTTGCGCTTTCATTCGGTGCTCCTTCGAATGTTTGCCCTCTCCTTCTGACCCAGCCACTGTGTGTTGAAAACCTAATTTTTGAGCTGCCATTTTACTGTTGAGGCACAGCCACTGTGCGTTACACAGCCACTGTGCATTACACAGCCACTGTGCGTTACACAGCCACTGTGCGTTACACAGCCACTGCGCATTACACAAGCACCCACCTTTTGCGCCTTGATCCGGTGCTCCTCCTTCTCTTTCTCTGTCATGTTTGCCTTCTCCTTCTCCTTGCTCTCCTTCTGAACGCACCACAGAGGGGGAAGGACGACGAGCAAAAGGAAATGAAGGTACCAGGGAAAAAAATCAATGCATGGATGGTGGATGGACCATGCAGATCAAAAGCATCGCGAGCTACGAGGCACCGCAAAAGTCCGGCCACAGGACAGGATGAAAAAAAAATCTGAACCATTGAAAAGAAGAAAACAACAAAAACAAGTTACGAGGTGCCTCAGAGCCATCTTTTTTAACCTTAGCACCAACTTCCCCCCCAGCACTCACCTCCCCTAATCTTCTGAGCCTCTCTCTCTCCTCTGCTGCTCTCCTCTCCTCCGCCTCCCTCTCTGCCCTCTGCATCAGCCTCAGCTGCTGCAGCGGATTCGATGTCACTTGCATCACAGGCACATGCTGCTGCTGCTGCTGTATTCGCTCCTCCTGTGGTTGCTCTTGTTGTTGTTGTTGTTGCTGCGGCCGCCGCAACAGTTCGTGTCGATGCTGGTTAAGCCTCTGTAGTGGGGTACGGGGGTTTGGAAGAAATGGACAGGGGGGAGGGGAAGGGAGGGGAGGGGAGGGGAGGGGAGGGGAGGGAAGGGGAGGGGAGGAGAGGGAGGTGGGTGGGACGAGGAAAGAAGCCCTGGGGTGTTTTGGATAGTGTTGAGGGGGAGAATGGGAAGGTGGCACAAGAGACTGAACCGAACAACATTTCAAGGAAATGCGGCACCCACGTGAGCTGATAGTCTTGAAGGGAAGAGACACCCACGTGAGCTGATAGTCTTGAAGGGAAGAGACACCCACGTGAGCTGATAGTCTGGAGAGTGCTGCGAGCAGCGAGTGCATTCGCTCCTCTAGTGCCTGTGGTGTGAACTTGAGTGGACCACTGAGTCGATTCACAAGTCGCCTCGACAAGCATTTCAAGGGAAGAGACACTCACGTGAGCTGATAGTCTTGAGAGTGCTGCCAGCAGTGAGTGCATTCGCTCCTCTAGTGCCTGTGGTGTGGTGACACACGACGCAGAGAGGAGAAGGGCGAGAGAACGCAGTGAGGGAGTGGAGAGAGCAGTGGCAAGAGAGCCAGAAAGTTGGCGGCGAGTGCATTTGCTCTTCTACTGCCTCTGGTGGTAAGTTTTTTGAGGCGCCTCAACAATCAAGAGAGTAAGGAAGTTGGTGGTGAGCGGCGAGTGCATTTGCTCTTCTAGTGCCTCTGGTGGTGAGACACTATGCAGAAGGAGAGACGAGAGTGAGAGACTGCAGAATGCGGGGGCAAGAGCGTCAGGAAGCTGGTGAGAAGAGAGAGTGTTTGCCCCTGTAGGGCCTGTGGTGGTGCACGATGAAAGGACCCTAGGTACAGAAGCAAAAGGACCGAGTGAGAGGGCCAGATGCAAAAACGTTATCCCAGCAGTTGTACGTTTGAGACACACACACACATAGACAGTGTGGTAGGGCCAGGAGCAAAAAAAGAGAAAAACGTGCCAACTGAAAAGTTATCCCAGCAGTTGTACACTTGAGAGACACACACACATGAACAGAGTCGCTGGCAGTGCCACGGCAACTGTCGGTCTTTAGCACTTGTTTTGTGAAAAGATGCTGTATGTGTGTATCATAAGGGCCTGACAGATGTACCTTTGAAGGCACGCGACTCTCTCTAACCAAGCATACCACCCAGCACGACGTACCGTTGATAGACACACACACACACACATAGAAAGAGTCGGTGACGGTGCAAAGGCAAATTTCGGCCTAGGGCAGTTCATATGTGTACACCATGCTATGTGCTGTATGTACCCTAAGGGCCTGGCAGACTTACCCTTGATAGACACACATAGACAGAATCGCTGACGGTGCGAAGCCCGGCCTTGGAAGCTGAAGCGAGGTGAGGGAGGAAGGGAGGGGGAGGGGAATGGGGGGGAGGAGGAGGGATGGTAGGAGGAGAAGTGAAAATTTCAAAGCGTAAGGTGATAACTTGGGGGTGGAAGCATGGGGGTGGAGGCATGGGGGTGGAGGCATGGGGGTGGAGGCATGGGGGTGGAGGCATGGGGATCAAAGATTGATGATAAATGCATGGGGTTGGTGCCATGCCATGCCACTTCGACCCACCACAGCCACTCACCAATCCTCCCAGCCCCACCTGCCCTACTCACTCACCTATCTGCCCCTCCAAGCCTCGCAGCTGTGGTCGGTTCAGCAGCAGCCAAATCTCACCTACCCGATGTAGGGTGTTTGTGAGAATTCTCAAAAACACGCTACTTACACACCTATACGCCCAACCTAAGCTGCTTACCCACGCACGCACCTATCCACGCGACCACGGCGTGCAGCAGTGGTCGATCCATCAACAGCCACTGCTCCTCCTCCCTCGTCATGCGCCGCCATGCCTCCCCCTGCACCTTCTGCTGCTGCTATGCTAAGCGCCCTTACAAAAACTTCCACACTCCTTGCGCCTCACATATCTCCCCAACCCCAGCTACCTACCATCCCAGCCCCACCTGCCCACTCACCTATCCACCCCACCACGGCACGCAGCAGCGGCCGGTCCATCAGCAGCCGTTGCTCCTCCTCCCAACCAGAACCAGCAGCCCACTCACCACACCACACCACACCACACCACGCACCTATCCTTCCAACCCCATCACACCACTCACCTATCCGCCCCACCACGGCACGCAGCAGCGGCCGGTCCATCAGCAGTCTCTGTTCCTCCTCCTTCGCCATTCGCCGCCATGCCTCCCCCTGCACCTTCTGCTGCGCATCCCCCGCCACCGCCATCGCCAACAGCTGCTCTTCCTCCTCCTGTAAATAGAGAGGACAAAGAAAGAGGGAGATAGAGACGAAAAAGTAGGCAGGAAGGGAGGAGTTGATCTCTCCCTATGCATGTACCTCTCTCTATGCTGCTGCTCCTCCTCCCTCGCCATCCACCCCCATGCCTCGCCCCCATGCCCCGCTGACTGCTGTGACGTCATTCAGCTGCTCTATTCCCACCCACATTTTGAGCCGTCTATGAAGCCAAGCCAACCAACCACCCTTACATAGAGGCGTGTCAAGCCAAGCCAAGCCAACCAACCACCCTTACATAGAGGCGTGTCAAGCCAAGCCAAGCCAACCAGCCACATGACTCACCCTCAGGTTCACCCCGCTGACTGCTGTGACATCATTAAGCTGCTCTATCCCGTCATTGTCTGGCTTGGGCTTCTTGCTGCAGGTACACAGAGGGGTAGGGGAATGGGATGAAGAGGGAGAGGGGGGGGAGATGAAGAGGGAGAGGGGGGGGGGATGAAGAGGGAGAGGGGGGGGAGATGAAGCGGGAGAGGGGGGGGAGATGAAGAGGGAGAGAGGGGGGAGATGAAGTGGGAGAGGGGGGGGAGATGAAGAGGGAGAGGGGGGGGAGATGAAGAGGGAGAGGGGGGGGAGATGACTTGCCCTATCCCGTTGTTGTCTGGCTTGGGCTTCTGGCTGCAGGCATGCAGAGGTGCAAGGGAAACCAGGGGTGGGGATGACGAGGGAGGGGGGCGTGGGAGGGGTGGGAGAGTTAGGGGGGAGGAAGAGAACGGACAGGGGGTTGCCCGGCGGGAGTGCCTCTGCTGAAGAATAGAATACTTGCCGGAAGTGGCAGAGTGAGTGTTTGAGTTGTCTGAGTGCTACGAAGATGAATTCTAGACGGTTCTGGAAATTCAATAAAATAGTGTATTTCTGAGAATTCTAGAGGTTACAGTGCTGAGATGAATTCTGGATGATTCTTAAAACCAGGGTGCACATTCAACGCGGTTCGGCTTGAGATGTTGGGAAGGGGGTTCGGAGAAAAACAGTGATTGGCTCACGAGGGGCGACAAAAAAATGATTCCGCTAGAGCTTCGGGCATTTCGTAGGTGGCGGGAGTGGGTGAAACCGAATGCCGGGGGGAATGAAACAGATTGGGGGGAGGGGGGGAAACGAAATTGCGGGGGAGGGGGGAAACAAAATTGCGGGGGAGGGGGGAAACGAATTTCGGCGGGGAGGGGGAAATGAAATTGCGGGGGCGTGGGGAAACGAAATTGCAGGGGAGGGGGGAAACGAATTTCGACTTCAAGGGGTTGAAAGCACACCTCGTAACCCACTCAGTCAAGGGATAACCTTTGATGCTCATTCAGCTGAATTTGCACCCCGGCTTTAAGCACTCACGCAGGGGGTTGTCCTGGCGCGGATGCCTCTGCTGGGTGCTTGCTGCCAGATGGCAGGTTGAGGGGGTTTGAGAATTGCGTGGGTGAACCTCAAATTGCGTGGGTGAACCTCAATCGCACTAAGAGTAAGCCAAGAACTCACGGAGGGGGTTGTCCTGGCGCGGATGCCTCTGCTGGGTGCTTGCTGCCGGGTGGCTGAGTGGCTTGAGAGCCTGGGGGCTGTGGTTGGGGTTTCGGGGTTTGGGGACGTTGTAATGTTGGGAAATTGGGGGAGAGATGGGCAGAGAGGAGACGAATTTTGTTGAGTAACAAATCCTGCTTGCTGGGCAGGAGAGCCTGGGGGCTGTGGTTGGGGTTTTGGGAGAGAGATGGGAGGATACGAAAACGAGGAGAGTGGTACTGTGAGGAGAACGTAAGGAAGGGTGCACGACAGAACGAGGAGGATCAGAGGGGGCGGGCCCCAGCGGAAGGAGGTGGGGGAGGAGATGGGGGAGAGGATGAGGAGGCGAACCTGGTGCTGCTGCTGCTGCTGTGGAAGGCTTAGCTGGTGGCGGTGCGCCTGTCCCTGCACCTGCTGCTCCTGGTTGGCTGCTTGGGAAGAGAAGTAGATTATTGAGCATGGGATAATGGGAGAAAGCGTACCTGTGGTGCTGCTGCTGTGGAAGGCTTGGCTGGTGCACCCGCCCCTGTACCTGCTGCTCCTGGTCTGCCTGGTTGGGCAGCCGTAGCATCAGCTGCTGCTGCGGCAGCAGCACTAGCACCAGCACCCGCATTGGCACCAGCAGCAGCAGCACCCGCAGCAGCAGCACCAGGGGCAGCGGTGGTGGAAGGAGCAGGTGCGGCTGCAGCACTAGAGGGCATAGCACCGCCATCGCTCTCTGTCAGCCTAAGCCGTTTCACCTCTGGCTCCTCTTCTCTTCTCAAACCCCCTGCCGCCCCTGCTGCTGCCCCTCTTGCTGCTACTGCCCCTGCTGCTCCCGCTGCTCCTGCTACTCCTGCAGCTGCTGGGGCCTTTCCTGCTAGAGCTCCTACTGCTGGTGACCCATCCTCTAATTTGACCACTGCTCCACCTGCGGCAGTTGTGCCAGGAGCAGCACCACCACCAGCAGCAGAAGCACCACCAGCAGCAGCAGCACTGGTTGCACCAGCAGCACCAGAAGCAGCAGCAGCGTCAGGCGCCCCCCCAGCAGCAATCTGCTTCTTCTCCTCCTCTTCAGCCTTCCTCTTCGCCTCCTCCTCTCGCTTCTTCGCCTCTTTCCTCAGCTTAGCCTTCTCATACTTGGTCAACGGCCGGCCCCCAGGAGTACCAGCAGCCGCTGCCACTGCCCCTGCACCACCAGCACCACCACCAGCACCACCACCACCAGCACCAGAAGCAGCATTAGCTGGTTTCCCACCCGCAACTGCTTTTGCTCCTGCTCCTGCCCCCGGTTTTACCCCAGTCGCCTTTGCCCCAGGTGCACTGGCTCCTACATTCTTTGCTGCTTCCGTCCCTGCCCCAACTACGCCTGCCACTCCCGCTGCTGCTCCTCCTGATCCTGCCCCTACCCCTGCTCCTCCTCCTGTTCCTTCTGCAGGCACTTTACCTGGAACCGCAGCACCCACTGCCGCCGCTCCTGCTGCTGCTGCTGCTGCTGCTGCTGGCAACGATGCAGCTACACCTGCTGATGCTGCCTCTCCCACTACTGCGGTAGTAGCAGTCACACCAGCCACGCCAGTGCCTGATGGGATTTGCCCTACAATAGCACCTGCAGAAACCCCCTCCCCCTTCCCATCCATACCCACTCCCAGACCTGCCCCTGCCGAACCTACATGTGGGCTCGGAGCCCCAGCCTGGAGCGGCACCGAGCCTACATAAGCGGCGTGGGGACCAGATGGGTGAGGCACAGCTGCAGGTCCGGCAGGGTATCCGACCCCAGGCTCTAGCTTCGGAGGGACAGGAGAAACTGGGGGACGAGGTATGGGGTACGGAGAGGTGTGGAACGCTTGGGAGGGGTGGGAGGGGTGAGAGGGGTGGGGGGGAATGGTTGGTCGGAGTGGGGGGGATTGCATGGGATGGTATGATTGTGGTTGACCCATAGTCATGGCTACTCCTGCTCCTGGTTCAAGCTTTGGTCCTGGTGATTGCTGCTGAAGCATCTGCTGCTGCTGCCGCTGCAACTGTTGTTGCTGCTGCTGTTGCTGCTGAAACGCCGCCCCTCCCTGCATTTCACCCAACCCCCCTGCCCCAACACCCACTCCCCTAGTGCCCGCCCCATTCCCTAGGCCAGCTGCACTGGCAGCTGTACCTCCCCCAGACCCACCCACCCCAGTCCCAGCTACCATCCCCCCACCTTCCCTTGCCACACCTCCTGCCGTCCCTGCTCCCAACCCTCCTTGCACAGACCCAGGCCCGGCCGAGCCTGCTCTCAAGCCTGTTCCCGAGCCTGCTTCTGATCCCAAGGCTACTGCTCCGGCTGTTGCTGGTCCTGCTACAGATGCGCCTGGGTGTGTGCTGCTGGGAGGGCCGGCTGTAGCAGGAGGTGCAAGGGGGCCCGCAGGAGTGGAGTGCGGTGCCATGTGGTTGTTGGTAGCAGCAGCAGCAGCAGCAGCAGCAGCAGCTACCTTCATTTGCATTATTTTCTCTCTCTGCAGGGAATGAGAAGAGGGAATAGGATGGTTTTTTTAGTCGACTGAAACAAACAGCAGCAACTGCTGCTGCTGCTGCCATTTGCTCATGACGCTCCCTTGTCCTTTGAATCATCTTCTCTCTCTGCATGGAATGAGAAACCGCAAGCGAATGACCAAAGGGAAGTGGACGGAAGGTGACGGCAAGAGAGAGGGAGGAGGGAGGAGGGAGGAGGGAGGAGGGAGGAGGGAGGAGGGAGGAGGGAGGAGGAGGGAGGAGGGAGGAACACATGCGCCCCACCCCACAGAGAGCCTGAACGGTGTGCATAGGCTTCTAGGTGTGTTTGAGTCGACTCATGATACAACTGGTTTGAGTCGACTCATGATACAACAGGTTTGAGTCGACTCATGATACAACTGGTTTGAGTCGACTCATGATACAACTGGTTTGAGTCGACTCATGATACAACTGGTTTGAGTCGACTCATGATACAACTGGTTTGAGTCGACTCATGATACAACTGGTTTGAGTCGACTCATGATACAACTGTTTTGAGTCGACTCATGATACAACTGTTTTGAGTCGACTCATGATACAACTGGTTTGAGTCGACTCATGATACAACTGGTTTGAGTCGACTCATGATACAACTGGTTTGAGTCGACTCATGATACAACTGGTTTGAGTCGACTCATGATACAACTGGTTTGAGTCGACTCGGAACACGTGCGCCCCGCCCCACAGAGAGCCTGAACGGTGTGCATGGGCTTCTAGGTGTGTTTGAGTCGACTCATGATACAGCTACCTACCTGCATGCATCTACCTGCACCTAACTGCACCTACCTGCATCTACCTGCACCTACCTGCATCTACCTGCACCTACCTGCATCTACCTGCACCTACTTGCACCTACTTGCATTCCCTACGCATCTGCACCTGCTGCATAAGCTGCTTGAACATGTTCCACCCACAGAGACCTTTAATGCGATTGTACGTGGCTGAATACGGTTGAATGCGGTTGCACGCTTCTCTCACCTGCACCTGCTGCATGAGTTGCTTGAACGTGTGCCCACCACACAGAGAGCCTGAACGGCCTGAATGAACCTCTAGGTGTATTTTGAGTTGACTCATGAAACAGCTACGGTACCTACCTGCCCCTACTTGCACCTACAGGCACCTAGTTGCACCGATTTGCATTCCTTTACGCACCTGCACCTGCTGCATGAGTTGCTTGAACATGTTCATCCCACAGAGAGCCTGAACGGCCTGAATGAACTTATCCTTGTTTATCTTTTGCTCCTGTAGAGGGCAAGGAGGGAGACGGGAAGATGTGGGGACAGAGCAAGGAATTAATGGTCATTGAGTTGACTCAGAAGTCAGCACACGCCCACCACACACACAGAGAGCCTGAACGGCCTGAATGAACTTATCCCTGTTTATCTTTTGCTCCTGCAGACGGCAGGGAGGGAGACGGGAAGATGGTCAATGAGTGGACTCAGAAGTGAACATGTTCCCGCCACAGAGAGCCTGAACGGCCTGAAACAACTTGTCCTTGTTTATCTTTTGCTCCTGCAGACGGAACGGGGGGTAGTACAGTGGGAATGGAACGATGGGGATGGGAGCATGTGCGGATGGGATGGGAGCATGTGCGGATGGGATGGGGACGCATGCATCGGGATGATGGGGATGCAACGAGGAATCAAGTTGTTCTTTCCCGGTGCCTCGGAAAATGGTAGATTCGAGTTTCAGCTGTGCGGACGAGCTTCGCTCGTTCCCACAAAGCGATGTCGTTTGCTTTGCAGGATTGAGTAAGTAGGAGGCACTGTGGAAATGGAACAATCGGAATGTAAGGATGCCAGCTAGCTACCCTTGCAAGGAAGGATGAAAGGATGATGTTCATTCAGATGAGCCTGAAGGTGCAGATGCAGCTCAAGTTTTGAGACGTCTCAAAACTCGGATGCTAGTTCAGATGAGCCCGCCGCCCGGAGGTGCGGAGGCAGCTCCGGAAAGGTCTCTTTTGAGACGTTTCACATCAAGCCACCTTGCATCGTTGCACCCACCTTCCATTCAGCCACATTTCCAGAACAAGCAAAGCCACCTTGCAACCATGCACCCACCCACCCACCTTCCATGCGGCTTGAATCTGCTGCAGCTGCACCCGTTGCCCTTCATTCAGAAGCGACCTCAGGCGCGGAAGCAGCTCTGGGAATGTGATTGCCGGGGCCTGAACAGTCTTCCGCATTGCTCCCGCACCCCCTGCTGCCACTCCTCCCGCTCCTCCCGCTCCTCCCGTTCCTCCTGCTCCTCCTGCTCCTCCCACTCCTCCTGCTGCTGCCATAGAGACGCAGGGTGGTGCGAGCAGGGAAAGGTGAACGAGTAGCAGTTAAACACGAGAAATTTGTTGGGTCTGTTTTTGAGTCGACTCAAAAACAGCCTCTTTCTGCAAGACAGGACTAGAGTCACTCGACTGAACTCTTTTACACAGTGTATACTGAAACAGCTCAATATAGTTTTCTTGTGTTATGAATAGCATGACCCACCAGTTTGCTGTTGCTGGTGTCCCATCGTCTGCTGATGCTGCTGATTTGATTGTGTGGGTTGCTGCTGCTGCACTTGCTGTTGTTGCTGCTGCTGCAGCAGCTGCTGTTGCCGCTGTTGCTGTTGTTGTTGCTGCTGCTGCTGCTGCAGCTGCTGTTGTTGCTGTTGCTGCTGCTGATGCTGCTGTTGCTGCTGTTGTTGCTGCTGCTGCACTTGCTGTTGTTGTTGCTGCTGCTGTTGTTGTTGCTGCTGCTGTTGCTGCTGCTGCTGTTGTTGCTGCTGCTGCCGCTGCTGCTGCTGCTGCTGCTGCTGCTGCTGCTGCTGCTGCTGCTGCTGCTGCTGCTGCTGCTGCTGCTGCTGCTGCTGCTGCTGCTGCTGCTGCTGCTGCTGCTGCTGCTGCTGCTGCTGCTGCTGCTGCTGTTGTTGCTGCTGTTGCTGCTGTTGCTGCTGTTGCTGTTGCTGCTGCTGCTGCTGTTGTTGCTGCCGCTGTTGCTGTTGCTGTTGCTGTTGCTGTTGCTGATGCTGTTGCTGTTGCTGTTGCTGTTGCTGTTGCTGCTGCTGTTGCTGTTGCTGTTGCTGTTGCTGCTGCTGTTGCTGCTGCTGTTGCTGCTGCTGCTGTTGCTGCTGTTGCGACTGCTGCTGTTGCGGCTGCTGCTGCTGCTGCTGTTGCTGCTGCTGCTGCTGTCGCTGCAGCATCCGCTGCTGCTGCTGCCGTATCCTCTGCAAGTACAAAGTCTGCTGCTGCGGAGTAAGCTTATGCCATCTAGGGTCGTTGGCCAATGCAGCAGGCACCTGCATAGTCCCAACACCACCACCCGCGGCACCCCCACCACCCGCAGCACCTCCAGCACCACCTGCACCACCACCACCACCACCACCACCACCGGCAGCAGCAGCACCACCACCACCACCAGCCATAGCCGTTCCAGGACGCAACCCCCCCTGAACAGCTGTAGCTGCACCACCAGTCATACCTCCCCCTGCTGTGGCTCCCGCTCCGCCACCCCCCATCCCCCCCATCCCGCCGCCCATCCCCCCGACCACCGCACCAGAAGCCCTAACCCCAGGTCCCATGCCGCCACGTGGCGGAATGCCATTGGCTGCAGCAGGTACACCAAGAGGAACCCCATAGGTCTGACCCGGACCAGAGCCAGGGCCAGTAACGGGAGAGTTACTAACGAGAGCAGCACCTGGCATCCCGCCGGCCATACCAGCGGGCATTCTGGCGCGCATTCCGGCGGGCATTCCGGCGGGTATTCCGGGACCAGAACCCATAGTACGTACCCCAGCTACCAACTGAGGCCTAGGCATCCCCATACCCGGGCCTGCGGGAGACATAGGTCCCCCCGGTCCGCCTGGCACGGGCATGGGGGAATGCGCGCGCATACCCGCGCCAGGGGGGAGTGCGGAGGCCAGCATTTGCGCGCCCGGGGACGCGGACGCGGGGGGATACGGCGGGCGCGGGGGGTGGACTGCGGGGTACCCCGCGCCTCCGCCTGCGGCAGCGGCAGCAGCAGCGGCGGCGGCGGCGGCGGCAGCGGCGGCGGTGGGGTTGAGGTCTCGTTGGAGAGAGGCCGCCATGGCTTCGACCATAGAGGAGGGCATGCGCGTCGGGGAGAGCGGCTCGTCCTCCTCCAGGAACCTACTCAGATCCATGGCGGATTTCGATTCGACCTCGAGAGTCTATCTCCAGAGAATGTGCGAGCTACTGTGTGCGCGCTGCTGTGCGCGCTGCTGTGCGGGCTGCTGTGCGGGCTGCTGTGCGGGCTACTGTGCGGGCTGCTGTGCGGGCTGCTGTGCGCGCTTCCCTGGCTTATTGGCTGATAGCAGGGCGCTTTTCTTTTCCTCTTATAACCCTGTAACTGATTGTAACAGCTGATTTCCGCCAAGCTAAGACTGCTAATGATGCTCAAACCTATCAATCGCACTAACGATGAGCTGATTAACCGATCCTAAGAGCGAGCGCGACTGGGACTGCCTTGCTGACTAATGCTGCTGAAACTCTCAGATGGCCTAGTCAGTCGGACAGTCTTGCTGTGTTATGCCTGGCCGATCAATGCAAAACGGCTACATAGAATGTTGTCCGCGAAAGTTGTCGACTTAGTGCTACAATCGAGCAACGTATGAGAACATCCCAACAGCTTCGCTTTCTCGATCCAGCTTCATCGCTTGAGCTTCCTAGATCTACATGCGGACAAATTGTCTTTGCGAAGAAAGCTATTCTTGCACATGAATCGAATCAAAATGTCCCTGATAAGAGTGTGGGGACGGGAAGTGTGTTAGGAAGGAAAAGGTTGTCGTTAGAGAACGTTTATTGATACGGCACTAGAAGCACACAGGATAGGATGAAACGGATGGGGAAAGAGTACAGATCGCGGCGACGGAACGAAATGACGGCGGAAAAGAAAAAAAAAAAAGGGAAATCAAAACAAAATGAACTGATGGCAACGGCAGAGCGTGTCCTGTCATGCTAATGAATCCGTCCAGATTAAGCCTCGATTATTTGGGCCGAACTTAGCTGCAATTATTAGATAACTCCCACCGACGACCACCCTACCTGACGTGCATCGCAGCGACGACCATAGGAACACACGCCACCAAAGAATCTGATGCTTTCACGTTTCTATCAGCAACATAATCGGAAAGCTTAACGATTTCCACTTTGGTATTAAAAAGACGCAGATAATGGAGCAAGCGGCTGTTGTAGCATTAGCTATTCTACGCTGCCTAACCTAACTGACGGTCGCGACGAGGGCCAGTAGATTCGTCGCTTTTAGCCGTAACAGGCACGCTCGCGAATTAGAAGAGCAGGGAGAAGCACGGTAAAGGCACGGATCGTGGTACTAGACTGTGCAGCTACAATCAGCTATCAAAATGCCTACACTAGATGTCAGACCAGATAGAAGCCTGGAGTCCTCCAACGAACCCGCACAGCGTCGCTACTCTCCTTATTGATCTTAAAGTTCGTCAACCCCTCGCAAATTAAATGGAGCAAAACCTGAAGGCTTCACGTTTCAGCTATTCTAATCAAGCTATCACCTTCCCGTCGTCTAAGCTGAAAGACTGCTAGAAGGCTGGCACTTGATGGCGGGCTGTTTGAAAAGGTGAGGAAAAACATGTAGATTCTGGAACCATTTATAGCAGTAGGGTTTGAGATGGGCCTTGGGAATTGTTGGGGGAGGAAACTGGCGGGATCCCGCGGAAGGGCCCCTTTTTTAGGGGATTGGGATTTGGGATTTGGTGGGGTATGTTGGGAGTTTTTGGTACGTTTGGAAGAGTTTGGGAAAGTTTGAGGGCGGTTGGGAAGGAATGGCTACACAGAGAGCGGGGAAGGGGAAAGAGCGGAGTTATTGGCCGTGCAGTGACGGGATGGCGTGGGGGACGTCCAGCGGCGGAATGGAGGGGAGCGCAATTTTCTGTGTGGTCGTGGGGGGTTCAGATGACGACGAATTGTGCGAGGACGCTTCCAAGGGGAGCGGAAGTTGCAGTGTTGCGGAATTGCTTGCGGGAGAGCAAGCAGCGCAGGTGCGGCGTGGGATGACTCAAAGGGCTTCGCGCGGAATCTTCGAGGCTCAATTGAAATTCGATGGACTAATAAGGCTGTATAACACTGTACTACGGAATTGTGATTCAGGGGCTTACAAACATTTCAAGGACTCACCAACGGACTGAATTTGTGCAACTCATTAGGGAAGAATACCCTTAACATGTATTATGCCTCTGCAGATGTACGGTAATTCTGCCTTGCAATAGAATCGCTCATGTTACGGAATACTGTCTAAAGTGAGATTACCACCATATACTCAAACCTCGCCACATGAGCGATTCAATGTGAAATATGGGAACTTTCGGTTACAAAAACTCAATCCAAAAACTACCAGACAGCAGAGCAATACACGTGATTATACCGTATCAGCGCTGAAATTGTTTGTACCTGTTGGGCTGAGAAAAGCCCTTATGATCGTTTTCAAGCCTAAAATCTCATAGTAGTGATCAATTAGCGGAAGCGTAATAGTGAGCTAATTGAACCACATTGTGTCAAACTTATATGCTATAGTATATCTAGGCTGTAGTGGGGTAGTTCATATAGGGTACAACACTTTTAGGTTTCCTACTTGTACCCACCTGCTTGCTAGTTCAGTCATTCATTCGTTCACTATTGTAACATGGTATCATAGCACGTTCCCTCGTGGGAACGCTTTTTTTTAGGGCCCACCACGAAAATTTTTCCTGCCCTGCCCGAAGCGCGCCTCACGCCTGCCTTATCTGCGCCATCGCGCGCCCTTCCCTAGTACGGCCCGTCGCGGCCCTGCCTTCGCTGGCCCGTCGCGGCCCTGCCTTAGCCGCCCGTCGCTGGCCCTGTATGCTGTGACTGATAGTGCTGAGGGTGACAGCTACCTGTATGTCCCCCCCGACCCGGGCATTGAGGCTGCTGCTCTAGGTGCTAGTGCGTCTACTGCTCCAGGTGCTGGTGAGTCTGCTCTCTCTGGTACTGCACCTACTGAGGCCTTACACACTTTCACACTTGACTCTGGTGCTTCGCGCTCTTTCTTTCGTGACAACACCACACTCACGCCGCTTAGTCGGCCTGTCACAGTCTCCCTGGCTGACCCCTCTGGGGGCCCAGTCCTTGCGCACTCTTCCACGGTTCTACCGTGTCCTGCGGCCCCGTCGGGCTTGCTGTCGGGACTCCACCTCCCCTCGTTCTCTACGAACTTGATGAGTGGAGCTAACCTCCAGGACGCGTGGGTTGACTAGTTCACCCCTGGAGGTCAGCGTGTGACCCACTGCACTTGCTCTCGGACGGGCCGCCACCTGGCCACGTTCACCCATCAGCCTGGGTCGAGTCTGTACACACTGACTACTGCGTCTCCTCCGGTTACTGCGTCTGGTCAGGTAGCCGCGTCTAGTCAGGTGTTTACTACTGCGTCCAGGTCTAGTCCGGCGTCTGCCCCCTGCTCGTGTCATCCTCTGTCGCACGAGACTCTCCTTTGGCACCACCGCCTTGGTCACCCCTCCCTGCCTCGTCTTCGAGGTATGGCCTCCCGTACCCTTGTCTCTGGTCTCCCTCGGTCCCTCCCTCCCCTTCCTCCGGGGCCTGCCCCTACCTGTGTTCCTTGTGTCGAGGGCCGGCAGCGTGCCGCTCCTCACTCCTCCGAGTTCCCTCCGACAGAAGCTCCCCTGCAGACTCTCCACACGGACGTGTGGGGCCCAGCCCGCGTCCGTGGACAGGGTCACGAGCGTTACTTCCTCCTGGTCGTTGACGACTACTCGCGTTACACCACAGTCTTCCCCTTGCGCAGCAAGGGTGAGGTCACTGAGGTGTTGATCGGCTGGATCCGCGGTACTCGTCGCCAGCTCAGCGAGAGTTTCGGCTCGGACCTTCCTGTTCTGCGTCTACACTCAGACAAAGGTGGTGAGTTTTCCTCCGACCTTCTGAGGGCCTTCTGTCGTGCGGAGGGCATCCGCCAGACGTTCACGCTTCCGGCCTCCCCACAGCAAAATGGGATTGCTGAGCGTCGCATTGGCATGGTCATGGACGTCGCTCGTACGTCCATGATCCATGCGGCTGCTCCTTATTTTCTGTGGCCGTTCGCGGTTCAGTACGCTGCGCATCAGATCAACCTTTGTTAAGAATGAGGAAAATGAATGAATTAGGAAACAGGTGGGTACAAGTAGGAAAACCTAGAAGTGTTGTACCCCATATTGTCTACCCCACTACAGCCTACACAGACTATAGCATATAAGTTTGACACACCCCCATAGGCAAAGTGGGGGAGAACAAGAGGTCACAAGACCAGTCAAGCAAAGCAAAGCAAGCTCAGGGTGGATCACAATGTCACCACACAATCCGAGCACAAGAGCAAGGCCAAAAGGCCAGTTCACATGCAAGATCATATATAAAGGTAAACAGGCAAGTGCAGGTATAGAAAGATCACAGTACAAGCAAGGTCAAGAAGTGAGCAAGTGAGGCTAAGTAGGCACAAGACCTAGCATCGTACAGAAGCGCTGATGATCACCAGACGGAAGTGCCTTGGTAAAGATATCAGCAGTGTTGGCCTCAGAGGCCACGTAAGCAAGGCGCAGCTAACCACGCTGCTGCAGCTCACGAGCAAGGAAGTAGCGAAGAGCAATGTGCTTCGTTCTGTGCTCCAGTCTGTGCTCCCAACACAAGGCCAGCATGGCCTTGTTGTCTACGTACAGATTTGGAGGAGAACGAGGCGGCTCTCCTAGGTCAGTCAGCAGGTAGGTGAGCCAGCGTAGCTCCTGTGCAGCCATGGCCCCTGCGTAGATCTCAGCCTCACAGCTGGAGCCGAGAACAGAGGACGAGCGGGTAGACCGCCACGAAACAGAACCGGAGCCAAGGCTGAAGGTGTAACCCTGTGACGACCGCTGCGTAGCCGGGTCGTCAGCCCAAGAAGCGTCTGCGTGACCTGTGAGGACCACTCGACGTCGCCCTCCAAGCACTAGCCCCATGCCCGACGTACTGCACAAGTAGCGCAACACCCTCTTCGCTGCAGCCACGTGCTCTGGTCGGTGTCTCCCAGGAGCAACATAGCGTGCCAAGATGCTAAGAGGGTATGCAATGTCAGGTCGTGTGCAGGTCATCAGGTACATGAGGCAGCCAACAAGCTCTGGGTACGGGCCACTCGGCT